CTAACCTCAACACTTACAGCACCAAGTACAGTTCCATGAGGTACTCCAATTAGTACTGCTTTCCACCCTGACAGTAAACCATTAACCCTTACCTCCTGCCTTCTATCCATCAGGTAGTCGCTGAACCACTCACATAAGCGTTGGTCTAATCCAAAACGTTTACGTTTACTAGGAAGACCCGAATGGAATACCTTATCGAGTGGTTTACGAGGATCGATAAAGACGACGTCCAGTAGATGGTCCTCATCCCTGACCTCGATCCAATCCTCCCTAGCTTACAGTAAGCTTGTCGAGCAGGTTTGTCCTGGTCGGACTCCATGCTGTTCCATTACCGGTAAGCCACGTTTCTCCATATAAAGTAAGAGCTGATCCCTTATGAATGTTTCTAACACATTTGTAATAATATAGGTCAGACTTACAGTCCGGTAGTTAGATATTAACTGCCTGTTCTTTGACGATGGGGTTCATAAAAGCATCTTTCCAGTCGCTGTGTAGCCTAGCCTGGGCCAGAGACATTCGAAAAATCTCCGGTTGAATGTGTCTTATATCCACCAGGAAGAATAAAAGTCCATTGTGAAATCTGTCAGGTCCAGGTGACCTACTTGGCTTCACCTTAGGCGGTAGTTTGAGAACCATTGCATCCTCTACTACAATTGTTCGCATTTTAATGTCTACATCAGTGACCTTGCTACACCCCTGAGTGGTACGATTGGGCGAAAATTTATCGCCAAAGTATTCCTGAAGCTTTTCAGCTTTCGTTTCGTCTGACTCGGTTGCCCCTCCAGTATTGCTTATGAGAGACGGTATGCCACTGCTAGTTTTAGTCCTGCGTTTGATATATGAGTGCAGTCTTTTTGGATAATGCACGCAATCTAGTACTATTTTTCCCTCATACTATATACGACTTCTGTCAATTTTATACTTAGAAGGGTTTCAAATTTTGCGGTATTCCATCCGAAACTCATCCCTCCCTGTCACAGTAAAGCGGTGCCATAAGTTCTTTTGTTTTCTTAATAACCTCCTTACTTCATTACTAATCTCAGCTGATTTGTGCAACAGTTTTCGAGGCGTAGACCAAGGTACAAAGGGTTCAGTGATGCAATCTAGTGTACTCATACATCCCATCCAAGCCACCTTGGCAGTATGGTATGAATAAACGGACCAGTCAGCTAGGGTTGCTGCATTTCGGATTTTAAGTATATTCGCCTTCCAAAAGTATGACAGTGTGAATCCTAAACACAAAAGGGATAACCATATGGTCACTACTGCCTAACAGTGCCGGGCACCTGATGTCACGGACATCCTCCTTTTGGTGTGCTGGCACCAAGTCTAGAGTGGATGGATCATGTTCATTCAACCACTGTCACTATGAGTTCCCTGTTGAAACAGGTGTACGAGGCAGCTGATTTTAACTCCTCCCAGTTAATATATGAGGCATTAAAGTCACCTACTATTAGACACCTATTTCTGCTACTCCACGTCTTTAGGTGATTTAGTGCTAAATCGGCAGCCTGGCTGGCTAACCCTAACTCCGATTGTCACAGTACCCTTGTTTAAGTTAATGACACAGTTTGAGGCTTTACTTGTGTCGCTGTCATGAGCTTCCGGCAACGTTGATATAATTCCTATGTCATCCCGGATGTATAGGGCGACCCCCACATTTCCGACTGATTATTCTGTCTGCTCTAGTGCAGATGTACCCAGGTATGAGTGAAGTTAAGTCTACACCCAGCAATCACATCAGGTGGCGATCCTCAAAATCATTGGGCTACCGAAATCACTTTCCTCCAAAATGCTTAATTTCACCTGGACATATCACTGTTTTAATCGTCCAGTCATGTCAAATGACCTCTTCATAAAATTGCGCGATGATACAACTTGCTCGCTGCACAATTCTTCAAAGAAATGAAGATATACTTCAGAATATCAATTTAAATGTGAATCCTGGGTGAAGACAAAAGTACTTTGGAGCTGAATACGCTGAAAATTTTTGTACCGTATATTCGCATACTGTCTTAAATAGAGCTTTACCATTATTATTATTATATTCCTAGTTCAGGAAGCTTATTCCTAAGAATACAAGTGTTCGTGTGGCGTACTGAGAGATCTATGTGTTCACTCGACTTATGAACAGAGGTCTGGGCAACATGTGTTTCCGAGATCCCACTACCCGAAAACCCAACAGTTTGAGGTCATTTTCACCTTTTCCTATTCGGGCTTTTAATTCAGGCACTGCTTCTATTCTCATAGTTCCATCACCCAGAGGCCAGTCGGGCCTAATTCTCATCTTTTTTGCCCTTAATCTTAAATGCGTTGCTGAGAATAATACTTTTCTCCATCCCCTTCTTTAGTACTATCTTCAGCAGTCGTGTGGAACTTTCCGTTGCATAGGCATTTAGTTTACCAATTCTGATGACTTTCCTTTCGTGAACTCCATTTGATTTTTTCGTGAAGTATTTCACGAATGATGGATCTAACTACCTAGAGACCACCAGCATGTCAGGCGGCTGGATCTACTTCCTTTGATTACTCGAAGTTCTAAATTATGATACTGTAATTTGAGTCCGAAGGCTTCACAATATTATTAGTATTTGTGACCGTCGAGACCTTACCACTAAGCCCAGTGTTTTTCTCTTTCTTACAATTCTTCAGCTTCCTATTTCCTGGCAATAATCAAGTAGAATCAGTTAGCTTTACTTTGCTCTCGACGCATCTGGAAGCTGTGCATTTACCAGGCACGCAACGCTTCTTCGTGGTAGTATCGCCCAGCGGTCTTACAATGTTGGCACTGCTTGCCCTCTCTGATTTTCTGGACTTTTGCGTGCCGTTCCAGACTTTTTGTGCACACTATACCCCTGTTGCGCTTTCAAAGCTTAGGGATGTGGTTGTGTCTCAGTGCTGTGACTCATTCCAGAATCGTCATTCATGGCATTGGTTCGAGATGCTGGACTTTTCCCCTCATCTGAGGTTTTTGTCAATTTTTTTGGCATCAAAATCCCTCCTGCCTCTTGGATGATGACGTCCGACGGGTTGCTACAAAATTTGCACACCGACGAAGATGATGGCTTCCTGCATTTCCTATAGGCTGATGTTGATAAGCCAGTGCAAACTTTACGAAACCTTAGGTTGCGGTCATCCATCCGCATCCCGCTATCCACCGAAAAGTGGGATTTCAGTCATCCACAGCTATTACTGAGACTAATGTCAATATAATTTGTTTAAGTTACACAGACAAATATATACATATGACTAAATACAGAGATATAAAAACCACACAAAAAGACACAGAACTGCACAAAAAACAATACTTCAGCTAATTAAACCGGTTGAACTAAACCAAAAAGCCTTTGATGCGATTTACACAACAAAGCAGAACGTTCACCACAACGTATAAATGTCACTCTCCTCTTCGAAGTGCCCGTTAGGGAAATCGCAGAGATTACTCCTCCACCGAGTAGGGAGGGATCAAACGGAATTCAAAGTGTCATCAACCGGCATTTTCCTGCACAAAATATCAAGCCTACTGGATGATGACATAAAGCAACATCTGAACAAAAGTAACACCGTATAATAGGCCTACTACGGATTCAGAAAGAGTCGGCCCTGTGCCAACAATTTTCTGACAGTCCGAGATAACTAAGCAATATCTTTTCTCTGAAGTTAACTTAAATGTCCTGTTTCTAGGTCTTCAGTGAGCTTAACATTTAGTGTCTGTTTGGAAAGTTAATTAAATGAGGTATCGCGACCTACTATAATCAGTGGGTTGTAGCCTATCTAGAGAGTAAATAATTTTAGACGCAGATGAATTAACTAAGTTCTGTACGGGTAAGGCTAATATTAGGCTACTGGAGGGGATATTTCATATCCACTGCTACTATTGATTATTATGTGCTGTGTTCTGATTAAATTACACTTCTCAACCCTCCTCTACCTATATTAGGCACAGCTATGGAGGACGGTGAGAAACAATGAAAGGTGGATGAGGCTCCGTAGAGACCTTGCCAACTTGTAGAAATGGTTGACAGAAAATTTTTCAGCTGCTAGAGTTATTAGTTATCGAGCTATGTACCTTTGTTTATCACAAAGACATCCACAGCTTACGCGGAATCAACCTATCTCATAAAGAGACATATTGAGATCTCGGGCTGATTTTGACGAAATAATTTATGTGCCAGCTGCGCTTAAGCCACCCACCTCATGAATAAGCAGACAGATGCGTACACATATTAAGATGTGCAAATTATATGTACGACCATAACGTCACTGCACCATACCTCCTAGGAAGGTATGTCAGTCTCTTGTAATGAATATAACGGAAGGAAACTAGAACCATTTTGGGGACACTTTGCTGACCATGTGATGATAGACTTTGAAAGCTGGATTTCCCTGTTCATAGATGCCACACTATATTGACAGCCTAAATGTGGCATTGAACTGTCCAAAGGACAAAACAACGATATAGGCATATATTACTAGAGGGACGCTATGGTATTCCTCGGTGTAAACGCAACATATTTATCCATTGACTGACAGCAACAAAGATACTCTCTTACATCTATTCCCTTGGGCTCTGTTACTGGCGGAATCTATCGCCACCTCACATGGCCACCGCTCCATTATTTGCTTGTCCTAAAAGAAACCCAGAGGATTACTCAAAAGCAACATGCTCGCGCGCATCAACAAGGTAAGCAGATTAGTTGGAGAGGAGCAAATGGATGTACTTCAGTACCTTATTCTAATTTTAATGCATGTCTTTTGGTATTGTAATGATCTACATCTAGGAACTCTTTTCTCTTATAAGACTCTGCCATTTCAGAACCTGCTGTCGATTTATTCAAAGTGAGTCCTGATCTTTATCGAATCGAGCGGATAATCGGAAAACTAATAAACTGAAGATCACGACCCTATACCTCACAATCAAGAGGCGAGCACAAGGAAATCAAACTGGTTTATAATAGCTGGTAAAACGATATTGGATATTGGATACTGTTTTGAAAGTCTTTCGTATATATTTGTTGGCGGCTATTGCAATACAAGGTCACACCTGGCCTGTAAGTTCCATTTATCGGTAATTTATGCGACTTATTCTGTGTCATTTGAGACAGCATAGAAATAAAATCAGTCTTTTGTCCCACCACCACTTTATAACGCATTTTTCATCCTCTAGATCCTGTATTTGGCACCGCTAAAGCTCATTCCTTTTCTCCCCAGTCGGAGTATGGGTACTGAAAATATAGGTCATGAAAAACTCTAGACTGATAGTATTCAAACTTCTCATTATTCTCACTTTCAGCTGAACTGGTTTCCTGACTATTTCTACTCGTTCTTCCATTTCAAAGGCGTGTATAATTTGGAGATTGGTTAAAATTTCATCCATTAATGGACACAATATTCGGCAGGTGGTGAAACTGGAAATATAATATATAGGTCCTCGTTAAACTATGTTTTAAATGGGGAAATGTTGCTTAAATGGCGGTTGATGCTGGTTAATAGTGATTAAATAGTGAAAAATATTGGCTGGAATTCACACAACTATTGGTTGAAATAGGAAGAATTATTTCACATGGTTGAAATTCTGTTTACCTTATCTGTTACTCTTCCGCTTTTCACCCGTTTGTCACCTTAGTTGTGCGGTTGAATTGAATTAGGTGTGGTAATCACCTAACTTTTCCTGTAGTAATTTCCCTCTAAAGAAATGTTGCATTTTCTTCAGATGCTTACACTTCTTTGCCCCCATTTCTTTCGATTGTGAGATAAGGAAGTGCACTTTTGTTACCCTCAAGAGTCTCGCATCATGGTAACTACAGTTTACTACAACTGCTACTCTAGCATCTGCTGCTTGTAGCATACAAAAATCACATTACATTTCGACAGTAATTTTAGAGGTCCTATTGTAAATATGTATTCTATCCGAAGTTATAGAGAAATTATTCACTGAAGTCCAAAACATTCCTTCATTGGGATGGAGGGACTATCTACACTTACTAAAATGGTAGTTTCGGGAATCTCTAATCATGATTTTGTATTTCTTTGTACGGCATTTTTCGCTCCCTTTGCGGAATCTGCTTGCCTTACTACTGTGATATCCTAAACATAAGCTTAATAAGCATTATATCATCTGTTACATTTACTGACTTTGAGGATTGAGGACACTTGGTGATATGACTGAAAACTAAATACGCTAACACAGATAGGACGATGGCAAACCACTGTTATTACCTACTTCTATTGGGCTGATATAAATCGTGGCAGCACAAGTGACTACTCAGTAAACCTAGTCTTTATGCTTTTGTATGTTTGATGTGCGTCGGTGGCACAGTGGTTAGGACTCTCGCCGACCATGCACATGGTCTAAGGTTCTATCCCCTGCCGACTCACACCTAATATCTATAGTCGGCCTGCAAAATTTGGGCTACCGATATCCATGCTGAAAATTCCATACTTGTACCAAAAATACAGTGTGGAATCAAGTTGTAATCAAAAATAAAATAAATAAATAAATTCTGGTATTTCTAAGTTTACAATGTGACCATTAGGATTAAAGAGTATTATCAACCTCCTATCAATTTCATTCAAACATTTGATGTAAACTGAAAGTACACCGTCACAGAAAGTTTCTTAGATTGGTAACCACACTGAAAACTTATCTGACAGATTTCGATCAGTATTTTGAAATAAACAAAGTGACATCTGTTAACCCTAGTCACCAATCAATATATCGAACTCACCTGATGGAATGACGCCAGAGGTATTTAAGTACGGTGGAGACAGCTTACTGTCCGGATTAACTGAGGTACTAGGCAGCGTCTGGGAATCAGAAGAAGTCCCATCGGGTTGGTGTAAGTCACTGATTATCCCCATATACAAGAAGGGAGACAAGTCTTCCTGTGATAATCACAGAGGGATTAGCTTGACTAATATAGTATCTAAAGTCTTAGGCTCAATAATCATGCGTAGACTAAGTGGTGCTCGGGAAGCACAAACACGAGAGAGCCAGGCAGGCTTTAGACCAGGAAGAGGGTGTATTGATCATATCTTCACCCTCCGACAGATTCTAGAACATAGGCATTCCTACCGGCGTCCAACAGTCATTATATTTCTTGACCTAAAGGCAGCATTCGACTCTGTCGATCGAGAAGTTCTCTGGAGATGCTTGGCTGTAAAGGGAATTCCAAGAAAATATATTGCACTGATTAAGGCACTCTACTCGTACTCATACAGCCAGGTGAGGGCTTACGGCGAGCTGTCATCTGAACTGATGACGACCAGTGGTGTCCGTCAAGGATGCCCATTATCTCCTTTTCTATTCAACTTCATCATAGATGTGTTAATGGACTTAACCCTAGGTGACTTCAGTGACTCAGGAATTGACTTGCTACCGGGGAATAATCTCGTTGACTTAGAATATGCAGCCGATATAGTCCTTCTAGGCGAAGACGCTGACGAAATGCAGAGTCTTCTAAACACCTTGAACCGCAATCTACGAATGTTTGGCATGCGATTCGCTCCCGCCAAATGCAAGATGATGTTACAGGACTGGACTACATCGATGCCTAGTTTAAAAATAGGAAGTGAAGTGGTAGAGCACGTTGACCGCTTCACTTATTTGGGAAGTACCATCAGCCACCCCAACGGGCTGATCTCTGACGAAATCTCAGCACGAATACAAGGGGCTCGTTTCGCATTTGTAAGTTTACGCCGACTCTGGCGTAGACGAGATGTTCGACTATCGACCAAAGGGCGTGTGTACTGCTCATCAGTCCGCTCCGTCCTCCTTTATGGTTGTGAGACCTGGCCACTGAGAGTGGAAGACATGAAAAGACTAGCTGTGTTTGATCATAGGTGCCTGCGTTCTATTTCCCGTGTAAAGTGGCATAATAAGGTGAGCAACATGGAGGTTAGGCGTAGAGTTCTAGGTAAACAGGGGAAATCAATCGACGAAGTCGTGAAGCTACAAAGACTGAGATGGTTAGGACATGTGTTACGTATGCCAAGCCATCGCCTCCCTCGACGAGCAATGTTAGCGGATATAGGGTCAGGCTGGAAAAAAGCTGGCGGCGGTCAAACAAAAACATGGCATCAGTCAATGAAATCCACAACAGTTGGTCTTAGCTACGTAGGAAGGTGTAGACTTCCAGGCTGGGGTCCTCGGGACGGTAAAAATCTATGGTTGGAAACAATTGGTGACATGGCTCAAAATCGTTCTCAGTGGCGCAGATGCATCCACTCCCTGTGACTTATGATCTTCAATGAAACTGTTTTGTATTTCTCTATTACTCCTTTGTCTCACACCTCTGCTCACTGTCTCTATTATGCTTTTCTTGTACTTTCTTCTCTTGCTTCGCGTGCTACACGGAATGTGGCGACTTGAACTTCCGCACATTTGTGCAAAGTTCTATGTCGAAAACAGACAGATGACATAGTCCTGTTAGGGGAGGATGCTGACAAAATGCAGAGTCTTCTGAACACCTTGAGCAGCAATCTTCGTATGTTTGGCATGCGATTCGCCCCTGCAAAATGTAAGATGCTGCTACAGGACTGGACGACGTCAACCCCTAACTTAGTGATAGGGAGGGAAGTGATAGAACATGTTGACCACTTCACCTACTTGGGAAGTTGTATTAGTACCAACGGACTGATTGGCGATGAAATCTCAGCACGGATCCGAAAAGCTCGAGCTGCTTTCGCTGACTTACACCATCTCTGGCGTAGGCGTGACATCCGGTTATCAACCAAGGGACGTGTGTACTGCTCATCAGTTCGCTCCGTCCTTCTCTATGGCTCTGAAACATGGCCAATACGCGTTGAAGACATGAAAAGGTTGACTGCTTTCGATCATAGATGTCTGCGATCTCTGTCTCACGTTAGGTGGTTTAATAAGGTAAGTAATGTTGACGTTAGGCGTAGAGTGTTGGGCAAAGAGGGAAAATCAATCGACGAGGTTATAAAGTTACATAGACTAAGATGGCTAGGTCACGTGGTGCGCATGCCTAACCACCGCCTCCCCCGACGGGCATTGTTAGCTGATATAGGTTCAGGTTGGAAAAGAGCCAGTGGTGGCCAAACAAAAACATGGCCTCATCAATCCATGAAATCCTTGACAGTTAAACTGAGTCGGTCAGGTAGGGAGATGCAGACTCCCGGGTTGGGGCCCTCGGGACTCTAGGAATCAATGGCTGGAGACAATAGGTGACATGGCTCAAAATCGTTGTCAATGGCGCAGATGTATTCAGTCTCTGTAATCTTTCATATTCCTTTCTACCATTACCCATTCTGTTTCACTCTTATATTTGTCAAACTCTATTAATTCTCTTCACTCATCTTCTTGTCTACCTCTGTGTGCTATTTGGAACGTGGCAACTCGAACTGCTGCACTTCGGTGCCAAGTTCTATGTTGAATCCAGACAGACAGACAAATCTCAGCACGAATACAAGGGGCTCGTTTCGCATTTGTTAGTTTACGCCGACTCTGGCGTAGACGAGATGTTCGACTATCGACCAAAGGGCGGGTGTACTGCTCATCAGTCCGCTCCGTCCTCCTTTATGGTTGTGAGACCTGGCCACTGAGAGTGGAAGACATGAAAAGACTAGCTGTGTTTGATCATAGGTGCCTGCGTTCTATTTCCCGTGTAAAGTGGCATAATAAGGTGAGCAACATGGAGGTTAGGCGTAGAGTTCTAGGTAAACAGGGGAAATCAATCGACGAAGTCGTGAAGCTACAAAGACTGAGATGGTTAGGACATGTGTTACGTATGCCAAGCCATCGCCTCCCTCGACGAGCAATGTTAGCGGATATAGGGTCAGGCTGGAAAAAAGCTGGCGGCGGTCAAACAAAAACATGGCATCAGTCAATGAAATCCACAACAGTTGGTCTTAGCTACGTAGGAAGGTGTAGACTTCCAGGCTGGGGTCCTCGGGACGGTAAAAATCTATGGTTGGAAACAATTGGTGACATGGCTCAAAATCGTTCTCAGTGGCGCAGATGCATCCACTCCCTGTGACTTATGATCTTCAATGAAACTGTTTTGTATTTCTCTATTACTCCTTTGTCTCACACCTCTGCTCACTGTTTCTATTATACTTTTCTTGTACTTTCTTCTCTTGCTTCGCGTGCTACACGGAATGTGGCGACTTGAACTTCCGCACATTTGTGCAAAGTTCTATGTCGAAAACAGACAGACAGACTTCCATAGATAATTCACTGTCCGAATAACACATTGGTAGTAAGATTGACTACAGCACTGTTGCATTAGTTGAAACCTTGTAAGGACAACAGATTCATGAAGTTAGTGCAGTCACCTTTCTGATAAGTGCCAATAAACACGAAATGCAAGTTCAGAGCTTGCTGCTCATTGCCTCCAAAAGCAGCTGACAAAGTGCCAATTCTTTTTGGAATTTTACGTTTGTATAAATGTAAATTATTTGATGCATGTGCACATAGCTTATGCTTTTTAACTGTGTACTTGTTTATCTAAATAGATAACTAAAAATGTAATATATACGATAGGGTGAGGGAAGTTCTGGACATTATCTGACGATGTTTATATTTTCCTAAGTTCATTGAAAGTCATTTTACTTTTTTTGTTATAGAACCTCGGTTATTTGACACGACACAACTGAATACGGTTTCAGTGGTGTATTTAAATATTGTACAACCTAAATTTTTCTCTGTATTATGGAAGATCAGATGTGGGATAATTCAATGAATGAAGAGGTATCCTTTTATATCCACACTAATAATAATCCTCAGGAGACGGATCATTGTCCTGCAGACAGTTTGCCGACTGCTGATGAAGAGAACTGCGTTCCAGAGAAGCTGACTGTTAATTCAAACGTGAATGTACATGACGATATCAAGCCCAAAGAAAAGCATACCACAACTAAGGAGAAACGTTTTCTCATAAATGGTTAGTCCTTTTTATTTTAATTGCCCATTGTATATAATACGTCTAAAGCAACACGCATTGTAGCTGATTCTGGATCTTCAGGGAAATTTGGGTCATCAGTGATGTTTTCCCAATTTTTCTCTAAGTCTCCTGAATTTGCTTCAAGTTAGGAATCATTTATTTTGGTTTCTAACGAAGTGTTGACTGGACCCAAACGGCATGTTTTAGTTCTTAATAATATTGTTTCCCAATATAAATTATTTATTTATTTATTTAAACGCATAAAAAACTTGGTAGAATATGGCACCAAGAAAGATGCGCCACACAATAATAATAAAACAACATAGATCAAAAAAAAGGAAGGGAGGAAAAGAAAAAATATATATAAGTAGAGAACGGATAAAGAACTTCATCTGGAAAATTAATTATAATTATTCATTGTCTTAGCATAGCTGAGGTAAGGTAAGTCAAGGACTACAGTAGTCACTATTTTAAAACTTCGTCTTTATTCTTTGTGATAAACATTCCACCCTCGAGAAAATAAACAGTGATTGAGGTTAGGGAAGTTGGACGTTACTGGGTGATTTTTGTATTTTACTGGAAGTTTTGATACTTTAGTTGATAAAATGTACATATTATTTAAACACTGAAACTGCTTATCTAATACACGCACAATAGAATATTAACGCAATTATTAGAGTGGGCTGGATAGGGTTCGTATAGATGCAATATAGAAAGGCTTACTGAATAAAGTTGATTTTAAGAGGTATACAGTGATTCAAATTACATAGTAAATTTGAAGTTGTGGGGATAGTGATGATAGGGACCGTGGGGAATGCAAAGTACGTTGAAATTCACCAGAAAGAACTGTTTAGAGCCGAAATGGAAAAAAGAGCTGTAGACAACATTTTTGGGTTTGTGTTTCATGTGACTAGTACTTCAGCGACACATACTTTATGAAAGTATAGGCTTTTGTTTCTCTCTATAAACCTTCTAGAGTATCCATTATCTAGCAGTTTAGTCGAAGTTCTTGGAACCCATCTTGTAAACTGGGACAAAGAGAATGGGTGAGGTTTCTGTTTCTATTTCAAAGTATCCAACTATTATGTTTATTGAACCATCATCTTGTAGAGATCGGTTGCCAAGTTGATTACTGGAATGGATCATCGCCTTTAATATAGCATGTAACTAGTGAAATGTCGAATTTAACTCTTCTTCAATTGTAAACTTATGGATGAGCGACCACTTTAAAGAGCCTAACGGTCAAAGGGTTTCCATCACAAGTTATAAAAGCGTTGTGCATATGTCATTATTGCTAATGAAGACTAGTCGTTACCTCTTTCAGTGAACAACCCCATAGGTTCATTATGGAAAACCTAATGGAGGCACCATAGTCACTCCATTCCTTGGGTTATAAATTACTTCATTGAATCTAAGCTGTATATTAAACTTTCTCTTTGTCATTCCCCCCCCCTTTCATTAGCTTTTGGTATTCTAGTGTTAATATTGTCAGTCTCAGTGTAAACACATAGATAACAAGTAGTTTTTAATGAAAATAAATTTTTAAGTGGACAGCGAGCACGTATCTTTCAGATAAATCAGGGAACTTCTTATTTCGCTCGGATATTTTGAAACTTCCCACTAAAATAATTATTTCATCTTCTAACGTCTCCCTCGTTATTTGCTAAATCGTACGAAAAGGCATGCTTTAGGAAATATTTTTCTCTAATTCTGGAAAAATATCTAGATAGTAGCGGTCCAATTCAACTTATGGCTTCTCATTTTCCATTATTAAGATAAATATGTTCACGGAACAATGCCTTTCATTAAAATTTCGCATACTCCTTTATTCATACTACTTTCAAGTACATCGACTATCTTGTTTGCTCTGAAAAGCCTGCCAGAATGATTTAGAAACTATATTATTCCATAAACTGTTATTTTAGTTCTCATCGAAACAAGACTTAGTCTTCACCAGTTCTTTATTTAACTAAAAGTACTCACTTGCTCATAAATTAGGGAAACAATGAGTTGTTCAGCTGAAGAAGACATTTTTTAACGACTTCATTCTCAAGCCGGACAGTCTTATTTATATTCAATTTTTTTCAATTTCACCCAACATAAATATTGACCTCTTGGGATAGCTGAAAAATGATTAATGTAGCCTTAACCATTAATACTATCAAATATTTAGTTCCTGTAGGTCAAGCCCATCCTTTTGGAAGTGCCAATATTTAAAGTACATCGTATCTCTCATTGACACCCTATTCTTTGAAGCCTCCAAAGCCTCAGGATGGTCGGGGGTGGGTGTCTTGCGCTGCGGGTTAGCCACCCCTCCGTACACCTCTTGAAATGCTCCCATATGACCGTACGTCTTACATAGCCTCTCCTGAGGAAGTCCCACTCACTGCCTTCACGTGGCGGAAGTGTTTATTTCACCGAAGTGAGAGGGCAAAAGCGGATGCCCGGCGCTCTTCACCGGATTGACTGTCCATTGGATGACAGTCTAGGGGAGATGGCTAAACCCTGATTCCAAACCTTCAACGACCGGCGTATGAAGCTCACCGGAGTTCACTGGCAGACGTATGGACAAAGGGCTTATTGGATGCCCTGGATGTCTGGCCCCATTCAAAAAGGCGTATGAACCGGACTCCGGTCACCGGCTGCCAATGGATAGTGGACTCCCTACTCCACTCCTACTGCCTTGTAGGTCACACTTGGTTGTGTAAAGGCTAGAGCTGTACTCTCAAACAAAAGGCCGAGCGATGCTGGGGACATCACTCGTACCCAATTCCCATGAAACTTCATCAACTCTTTTACAAACATTCGAGATGTTCATGAAGCCGGTTTATCCTCCCGTAGGAGATAGCCGAAGTAAAGTAAAGTAAGTAAGTATTCCTTGAAGTAGGTTGTTAAATTACAAAACAGATTTCATAGACCTTAATTTTAGCCTTTTCTGACCTCTGATCAGAGTGGAAAGATAGCGCATACGGTAATGCTAGTCGTTCAAGCGACAAAATGTAGTTCCTGTCACACTTGAGATTCAAACATAAAGAGAAGAGGACAGAAATGTACAATAAATGAATTTGAATATGTGAATAATTTTCCATAGAGTGTTGAAATTAATTGAAATGTGGATGATAAAGAGTGAATGGGTTTGTGTCATTGTGTCATGGAGTATAAAGCCGTTTTTCATTGATACTGAGATAATCCCGATCAGAACACTTATCGCTTTTACGATTCAAAGTCTCCGGGATTTTCGCTAATGTTCTGTTTTTCGAACTAAATTCTACTTCAAGCAACATTTCTTGTTGTGAAAAACAGTCGCTGGGCACTTGTTATCATATTTATATTCTTTTATCAGCAGTGTCTTACCTTCAAAATACCTATTAGATCGTTGGTTGTTTCCACTGCTTTTAATCCCACCCGTAGTAAGTACTTCAGGGTAGTTGCCGATTGAACTGATAAAAAGGAAGCCAAAAATTTATAGACTCAAAAATGTAAATATATATCTATATAGTATTCAACAAGAATGTTTTATAAGAGTGTCTATCCCAAAATTTCTTATTTCCATGTTATTCGTTCAGTCTGTAGCTGCTTCGATGTAGTTGTCGATTTTGCCCACCTCAGTGGTTAATGGTATTTTTTTATTCCTTGCCTGCCAAACATAGAATTTCAAGCTTTGAAGTTCTAGTAGTTGTATTGATTTTACGGGATAGGATTACTAATCTCATGTCTAACCTTCCGTCTTTTGTGGGCTTACAACCGGACAGTAAACTGGGCGACATTTAGGCCTTTTCGAGTGTCTGGCGAGCATTCCGCCGTTGAACCACCACAGCATACCTAAAATGTAGGTACTGTATATTTGTATAAGTTAGCTTATAATTTACACTGATAAAATTTTACCTAGGAGTCGAATTTTCTGATAAATTGTAATATATTGTTGTTGACTTGAAAGACCTTACAGTTTAAAGCATGCTGCTTTATTTACTGGAATAATAAAACTGGTGAATTAGAAGACAGTAGTTAGTTTATCAAAGAAAAAACTTATGAAGGTGCATTTCCGTTCAACACGACATGTTTTTATTTGTCACAACCTATGTCATACATGCGTTGGTGGTTCAATGGTAGAGTGCTCGTAGTCTGCGGTCGATTTTCGGCCAATGACGCTCTTCTAAACCTCACCCGGCTGTTAATAAACCCGGTTTAGCGTGAGGCTAGTAACCCTACCCCATGAAACAACACCACTGCTACTGAAAATCCAAACCTAAAGGTTTGGATGCTAAGGAATAAAACTAAATGTCATAAATATTGACCTGTAAACAGTTACATGTAGATTTTTCACAGCTAGATATGCTGTTGTTTAGTAGTTTCCATCCGATTACACTACTTAAGGTTAAAATTCTTATCGGGTCTAACGCAAATATGTTGTTTTTTGTTTGGCTAACTTATTTTTAAGTCATCCATATCGTAATTACCAGTGTAAATCTTCCATAGAGGTTCAATAATTCAAGTTGCCACAATTAACGGAAGAATAAAAAGGTAAAATGAATAAATATAAGATTATATTAAAATAAACCAAAAAGACAAGACAGTACAAACGAGAGTGGGACGTGAAGGAAATCCTCACAACTTTAATCTTATAAAACGGCTCTGTTTCTTACCAAAAGCCATAATTTTTAACCACTCTGCAATGTGAGGATATTAACTAAGCAACTTATACCTATCTACACTGTTTTCTCATATACTAAGTAGTCTAATATATTCCTGAATAACCACAAATTATGCTTAGTGATGCGTATATGCTGTCAGCTGAAAGTCCTAGAGTTATTGCACCAATAGATATCCATTATAAAGATGTTTGAGTTGTGGAGTTGGAAATGATGCCTAAACGAAGATGTGATTTTCAGAGTGTTCTAAGGGCTACAAAACAAGGCGCCCTTTCACTGGCTGTTCCCTCTTTTTCTCTCAACACTGAATTTTATATCCCCTGGTAGCAACACAATAGGTTTATATATATGAAATCAAACTTCACCGACAGTTACCGACCTTTTTAATAAGACTTCTGAGGTAGAACGTAGAATGAAGAACTATTTTTTTCTTCTTCTTTTTACTATTGTTCCCTTGGGTTCCGAGTGAAGAATATAGCTTCGACAAAACATCTCGACTTTATTCTATTTTCTGCCATCCTCTTTCGCTGGGCCTACAATTGCCCATAATCTCTCATCTCCTCCTCACACGACCTCCTCCATATCACCGTCTGATGACCCATTTGGGTTCCACTCGAGGGTCTCCTCAGTGTGCACCTTATCCGTCTCCATTTTCTCCTGCATATTTGTTGAACAATAGGTTCTTGGTTAATTTATTCCCAGATTTTCTTGTTGCTGATTCTTTCTGGCCATTTGATCTTCAATGCAGAACGAAAGCAGAAGTTGATAAAAGTCTGCACTGGCCTGTTGGAAATCCTTTTCGTGACCCATGTAAAAGAACTGACTGACTTAACATTTGCTTTGAAAATCCGAATCTTGTTCTTTTTGCTGACTGAGTGGAGAAGATTTCCAAACCTATTTCAGAGTGATGAAGGTGTATCTTGCCTTTCTGGTTCTGGCTTTAACACCTTCATCTGTTTCACCTATGGTTGAAACGATGCTTGCTAGAAAAATGAAGAAAGTTACCTCTTTCAAGTTTCTTCCGTTGATAGTGACTGGTGCTGTTTTTTTGTTGCTTTTGATTGGTTATCCTCATCATCTCCGTCTTGTTTATGTTCATCAGGAGTCCTGTCTTCACTAATTCTTCAGCCAGTTTGTTGTTTTTTGTTGGTATTTTTTTCATGTCATGTATTACTTATTCTATGATTTGACAGTATGGTTGAATATTTTCTGAATAGGTTGATTTTTAGCCCAAGTTTCGAACGTTGATCGTTCTCTGATGTTACTTAGTAACTTGATAACATTTTAAATTCACTCCTAGAAGTGCAGTAATTTCATCTGTTTAATTGAATTTGAGATTTTCCCGTCGATTGATTGGACCGAAGTGCCTGGTTTCAGGTTGACATGTCGGCTTCTTGTCCAGATGCTTCGACGATATCTGGGCATTTAATTAGAATTTAACTGGTGGATGGTGACTAGCCTCAGTGGGAACATCATCACCCACCGAGAAATGCAGGCACATCCAGATGACGAGTCCCAAACAGGACGAAATGCGCATCCTGGATTCCACTGCTAGTAACCATCCACCAGTTAAATTGCATCTGTTGCCAGAGTTTCCTACTGCAAAAAGTTGTGTGTAGTATATTCATAGATAATCTATTCACTACTTTAAATGTGACGAATTCTGTTTAATCAGTTGACTATTGCCAGAACAGTAATTACATAGATACTATCAAGATAGTCCATGTGAAGTTTTAAATTTTATTGCCAGTATTTTGTAAGCATCTTAATTTTTGTAGCTGAATATTTATGAAACAAATCAATAAATTGACAAAGGTGACATCTGGATGAATTTCTGCTCCGGATAAGACTTTTATGACTTCTTTTCAAAATCACAATCAAGATTTATGTTCTTATGTTTAGAATATTAGTCCTCAATATCTTATATAAATGCAAATATTGGTACTAAAACTGTTATCCAGCATATAACAGTATGTCACTATGTAATATAACCGTAACCAAGTTGTAATGCTATGCATTTTATTCTTTGTCTTCAAGTGAGTCACTTTTACCTCTCAGTACTCCTTCAGCTTCAGAAAGTACAAACTCACTATTTATTTTGTGTTAAAAGTTGGAGACATTGGTACCAGGATAAGTTCATGAAAGTGCTGTGCAACCTACAATATACAGTATAGACAGGCTACAAAAGTGACAGAAATCAAATCAGATAACTTTCGATTTATTTTTGTTTTTCCAAGGCTTTAAATTCAATGTCTGTCGTTATAACAGCACTTGTCGTATATAACAAACAGCCTTTTACATTTGCTGGAGTTTTAACACTGAGTTTAATGATAAGTAAATAAACATAGCAGTTATATCAGGTTACGTTTATATACTACTAATTGACTGATATGAGTAGCTGATTACCCCCCATATCAACCAGTAGTGCTTGATTGTTGGATCAAAGTAATCTAAACACGAGACGGTCGTCTCACTCACTCGGGGTGGAGCTCACCAACATGCCTGGTTGTTTTGAATAGTATCCAACTGCTTACATCAGTTAATCAGTAATATACGGCGTCATGAGTTTATGCTTGCTTTCTTGATTACCGTCTATGATATTAATCAGATCACATGTTGTGATCGGTTTTCGAAGAAAGCTGTTGAAATTTCACCTCCTCGAATTATGTAAATAAAGAATTTGTGTCTATACTGTGGATAAGTTTTGCCACTGAAAGACTTCATTCTTTTGCTTTTATAGATATGGTAGAAGCGGTCGACTTCAGTCTCTTACCTGAAGGTTGGCTTCAGTTGCGTCATACCTCTGGACTCAATGTCTATTTGCATAGATCAAGTCGAGTAGTGACATTATCAAGACCATATTCCATTGGACCGGGTAGTGTACGTTATCATCGGATTCCTGTATCTGCAATTCCATGTTTAGCGTATCGAAAAGCTATGGGACAAAATTTTCGGACTGTAGATTCTAACAAGGTAAAATTACAATGATCTGTGTCTATCTTCCAGGATCAATAAATTGTTTTATTATCATTTTGAAATAATTCAATCTATCTTTATTATGAAAAGTGATACAAATAATACGCTTTTGTTTTTCGTTTAGTCTGTTTTTTAATGGTGCATACAAGCGATGAAATTGGGAACTATAAAGCTACGTTTGGTGGTAGAATTTCATTATGAGTCGACATTGGTCAGAGAACCATTAAAACCTGAGAGTACTGGATAACGTCTCATCCTAGCTTGAGACCCTCCAACAGTGCGAACCCAGGACCTTGTGGTTACAAGGTGAGCTATCTCGTGGACCATTAAGCCACTGGGAGCCGATCCAACGGCGAGTTGATGGATTCCAACTTCTGCCAATTCATGAAATGGCGCTATCACTAGCGAATGTTATCGGCAAATATCTGTCCTCACACCCGACCGGCTGTACCTCATTGGTCAGGACTTCTCACTAGAACCCAGGTGACTGCCTACGTGAGTAGGGCGAGTCACTAGTGAGCTTCAGACTGATATTCAAGTATCGGCTAGTAGCCGCCCTATATCGTGAGTTGGCAGAAGTTCGAATTCATGGAAGCGCCATTGCATCGGCTCCCAGTGGCTGAATGGTATACGAGCTAGCTCGCCTTGTGCCCAGAAGGTCCTGAGTTCGAACCCCAGTGGGTGCATACTGATGAAGAATCCCAAACTATGACGAAACAACAGTCCACTGCTGCCAGGTTTTTAATGATTTTCTGATCGATGTCAGCTCATAATGAAATCCTGTCACCAATCATATCAAATCCCTGCAAACGAACACTGTAATATAAAGCTGTGTTAGGTTTGAGGAATGACATTCTGATCACACATGTGCTTGTTGTACACAGTTATGTAGAAGGCTAGAAAGCATGAATCATTACAATGCAGGTCAGATTGTGTACAGGTCAAGGTCACGAATAATGGGAGGGGAGATGACGCAAAGGTGTGGGTAAGAAAGAAAAAAAAACAGAAACAAAGAAGGGGTTGGGAATATTATGTAAAAGCAATGACTATGATTGTGGTCTAACGTCGTATTATAGCTCTTCAACATCCATAGTTTTGTTCTTGTGTGTTTTATTTCTCCTAATCTAATTTTATGCTGTATTATTTCATCTTTCTTCTCCTGTTCAAAGGTTTCTACAGAAATGGCTGATTCATGTAAAGAGTCAAGCGATGAAACAAAATGTAATCCAGTTGAAAATTCATCTGAAAACCAGCCAAACGGAGACACCGAGAAGCTTCAAACTTCAGAAAGTGTTCCACTGCTTGTAAATAAACAAGATAATACAGATAATGATGTCGGTGAAACGCTGACTTCTAATATCGACTTGTCACAAAGCAACAACCCGTATTCATCACATTGTTTGGAAGAAGTTAAGCATTCTGATAAAGAAGAAGGTGAATTATCTTCAGCAGATGATGAGAAGGATACTTCATTTGAAGAGGAAAAAGTTAAGAAAGCACGTTGGGATGATACTAGTATTTCTGTTACCAATGAAATGTCAATTTCACAAGGTGATAAATTTGATTTGCTTATTAATTTGTTTATTCATTTTGAATTGTTAAATGTTCCGATTTATAATATTAGAACAAGACATATAAGCGAACAATACTGTTTTCAATAAGATCTCCAGGCTTTACTCTAATTTACATAGATTTATATGTTTAAAATTTTAACTAATGACGGTGATTTTGTGGATCATATAATAATAATAATGTGGTAAATGTTTTGAACGTAATTAATAACGATGATTGTAATGATGAAATATTGATAATAAGGTTTATGCAGGTAGCGATAAGGATAACAAAGGTAGTAATATGTGTACATGTAAACAATTCAATAAATTAGGTCAAATCTTAAAAGTTACACAATACTAAAGGTGAAGTGGACAGATAATCAAAGTTTAAATAAATATCATAAAAGTACGAAGGAGATGGAAAATAAGAGAGGGTGGGAGGGTTTTGAATGGAATTCAGCCAGGCCAAGGAAGAGACAAAAGTAGAGCAAACTTCTTTTGTATGCAAAGACTAGGATTGTTCTCTCGAATTCCTATAGCTTCGGCTATATGTAGAAGACGGGTTCGAATTCCGTTCGAAAGGCTCGATGGAATGCGATAGATAACTTTGAAGGCACTATTTTTGTCCACTTGGTGACCACACTATCAATCAAATGAGCCGAAATAGAACTTCTTATAGGTTTTATTTGACCTTTTCCGAACCATAAAGGAAGGATGCTCATTAATGCGTTTGTTAAGCTGTCTAGTTGTTCGCCCTAGATAGCTCTCTCCACAGGAGCAACTAAATTTATAGATACACATAGAAGTGGCACAGTTTGAGCAATTAGAATTGGTCGGCTAGAGAGTGACAAACAAAGGGTGGCGGCAGTATAAGTCCGTTTTATCGCTCTCGATAATCTCAGATGTAAGACTTTGCTAGCCACATCCCCATTAAATTGCAATTTCATGAACAAGTTGTTTCTTTGCAGCTGTTGTCAGTTTCTCTTTATTGTACCTGGTATTCATGTGTCTCTTTACAAATCTACTAGGATAACCCATTTGGACCAGCGTATTTTGGATGTATCCTAACTCATTTTGTAGGGAGTCATCTGTACAGATACGTCTTGCTCTATTTGTAAAGCATCTAACCACATTATTCTTATTCTTATTTGATCCACAAAATCACCGTCATTGGTTAATATTTTTATATATAAATCTATGTAAATTAGAGTAGAGTCTGAAGAAGATCTAATTGAAAACAATATTGTTCGCTTATAAGTCTTATTCATTTTGAGTTGTTTTGGGGAAGTTGTAGTCTACATGAAAAATAGTTTTGCAGCCCAAATGACTAGTTCTTGGATAATAAGTTTATCACATTATAAAATGTACTTCTTTTAATGATGAATTCGAATAAATTATGAGCTAATGTTTCATATGTGAAGATTTTCCTCAAGTCCTGACAGTCTGAACATTATCAGAATGTATACAATGATTATGCTTTTATCAAGTTGATAAGGGGTTATTGTTGAGAAACAATTAACAACATATATTTGAAGTAGTAAATATAGTTAGGGATGATATTTATAGATTAAATAAATAAATATTCTTAAAAAGTAACTTAAAAAAATATATATCAGAAACAACAGAGAGATAGAATAAGTATGCATTTTTTTATTCCTTTGCATTCCCAGTGGAAGTTGGGTCTCCAAGCTTGAGCTGTGAAGTTACCATAGCAGTGATATTGATTTTACGAGTTGCGGTTGCTAGTCTCATACCCGACCTTCCCTGTTTACCAGGCTTAATACTGACCAGAAGTCGAACAAGGGGTCACGTGCGTGGTTGACCAGTGTTCTACCACTTAACTATTGACGTACCATCTGTTTCTATCTATTTTCTAATTATGTTCAATCTCTAAAGTAGTTTCAAGTAGACAGTGAATGTGTAATTAGCGTTTTGAACATATTTGTTACAAGTTTTTCTTTTCGGTGTTAACTTTTCTATTCCAACTTTTATACTGTTGTTTTCATTAATTCTATAGATTCATTGTCTGAAGAGAAAGGAGAAGAAGTTTCAAATACTTCATGTCCATTTACCTACAAAAGATCAACACATTTTGGAAATAAACGTCGTAAACGTAAATATGTTGTTAATCGTTCAGGTAGAAAATCTGCATCGATTATATCACCAACTACTACTATACAGTCAGAATCTGATGTAAATAAACAAGGTGTATCAACTGGAGATGAAGAATTTGTTGCTGTTAAAACACAGGTTAGTCGTCAAGGGATTTTCTTGATGTCGAATAGTCGACTGTCACTTTTATAATCTTTGATATATTTTTACATTCACCACGAAGTCTAGTAATTATTGTGTGGATAGCTATGAACACATCGTTTAAAACTCAAACACTTTCTTGTTTGAATAAAACAAGAACAACTATTTGTGCAGAATAAGATGGTAGCATCGTTCATTTTGTCGGTTGTGTACAGCTTAGAACAGAACCATTCTAACATACTTGGCATGATCTCAGTTGAGAGGAGATTGAAAACTTAGCGAACGGTACTCAGAAATTATAGAATAAATCCACATTTAGACATTTAGAAAACAGAAAGATTGAGCGAAGAAATATTTACTTTTCAGTTAGATCCTCATCTCTGGCTCTACTCTAATATATATATATATATATATATATATATATATATATATATATATAATTTTTATTACAATACAACAGTTTGCCAATCAAGTGGCGATAAGTTTGTTAACAATAATTAAACAGTGTCAAAATGTCAATGGGTTGATAATTAACGAAGAAAATCAATACACATTTAAAAGGTAGAAATGGTTAGAATAAATTAATTTTACAAGGATAACACGTAATTAAAGATGAAGTGGTCAGAAAAAAAATAAATAAAATAATTTGGACAATTGTAGTTTTTATAATTTTTTAAAATGTTTTAGGGGGAGGGGGATGAAGTAGTCCGGTTTATACAAACATGTAACGATAGCCAACGTAAGGAAAGTGACTGTACAATTTCTTCTGAACACACAGGTTTGGCTTCTTCAGGTGGATTCCTATTGCTTCAGCTGTATGTAGAAGACGAACTCGTAGAGCAAAATTAAGATTAGTAGGAGTGCGATAAATGATTTTAAATGCTGTATCAGTTTCAACAAGGTGTTGTACAATAGAGCTACGAATAGATCTTGTTTGTCCCTTGCTTAACCATGTTGGATGATGTTCGGAAATACGATGATGAACCTGCCTAATTGTATGCCCAATGTAGCTGGCTCCCCAGCTGCAGTCGAACTGGTAGATACACATACACTCAGAAATTACACTTATATAGCTTATACACAAAAGGTTCAAGCTCAATGAAAAAATAAATGCTTGGGTGCAAAGTCAAAGGACTTGCATAATAAAGAAAAGAGGTGAATAAGACGATGATTAACTTATAAGTATTCGTTTTTGCAGGGTTTAGCTTGATTGGTTGAAGGATTTCATCATGAGCTGACAACACTTACAGAACCTTCGGAACACCTGGGAGTACTGGACAGACGTTTCGTCAGCCTAGTTTGGGACTCGTCATCATTTTGCACCCACCGAGGTTCGAAGCCAGGACCTTCTGGTTACAAGGGGAGCTAGCTCGTAGAGCATTAAGCGACTGGGACTCGATCCAATGGCCCATGATAAGTTGAGTAAAACCGTTGTGAGTTCAATTCAAATCATACAGATGAAACACAAGTAAAATTACACTATAACTAAGGGGAAGAAGTCAAAGCCAAAGATTATGTAATCAGACGAGAGTAAAGACATCAGGGCAAGGAAAAACAAACAACTGCTTCTTTCTGAACAATTAACTCGGGTTGCAGGCGTTTGATACCTTATCATCAGTTAAAACTAATCCGAAGATATTTCTTTGGCTCTGTATTGCCTATCAGGCAATATACTTCTGCTCACTCTTTGTGTCATTATGATTAATGTTTGATTTGTATAGTAACAGATTCATACCGACCGACAACTGATAGCTATAGATTTAGCTTTTTGGGGAGTCATTAGTACACTTTCTCAAATGATCCCAGATGAAGACGAAATGCTAATCCACCACTCTGTCTCCCGCCACTGTTTTCAATAATCCTCTAACGAATAACAGTTTAATACAAAACACGTTTGGTTAGCTTTTTTAAATGAATTCAGAATCCTTACAGTGATGAATTTTATTAATTAGTAAGTCATATGAGAAAAGAGGCGTTCAGCGAAGAGTTACTCCTTTCAGTGATAGCATTCTCATTCTACACAATCGCATATAGTAACAAAAAGAAATGTTTCCAAAAATATGTCACTGAAATCGTAAGTTTTTTTGTGATAACACTTAAGTAACACAGAACTCTGCATAGAAAAGAAATTTGTTCAGTCACGGAAACTACAATGGACCTGATTTTCTTAATTTTATTATTTTTCTCCCTTCCTACCACCAAATTCCTATTCCTCATGACACTAATCTTAGATCAAACTGACCTTCTTTCAATTTTCGTTAAGTCTTACTAATTCCTGTCAGTTATTTGTAATCACGGAATATACTCATTTGATCATGGAGAATAATAAAAAGACGATTGCAGAGAAGAAAATTTTCTTTTCGACGAAGTCATCAAATAGATAGGTGTAATTCATGTATTTATAATAAATGGGTGGGAATGTCCCAGTATAATTTCCGTTCAAGGGTCAAATTAATAGAATTACAATTAGGAATTAGAATGTCACAATAAACAGGGGGACGGATAAAATTCAAACAAAGTAACATCATAATTGATATAAGTATAAAACTTGGGCACTGTGGTAGAGTATAATTCCATTATAGATAAGATTTTCTTTTTTTTTGATAAATCGCTATAACTGTAAACACTGTGCGATTTATCAAAAAAAAGAAAATCTTATCTATAATGGAATAACATCATAATTATTGAGAAGATTTACATATTGTGCTGTTAGGGGTTAGAAATGTAGAAATAACAAATTAGTTTTATCCGTTTCCTTATTTATCGTGACAATTTAATTCCTAATTGTAATTTCATTAATTTAACCCTTGACCGGAAATTATCCTGGAACTTCCCCGCTGATTTATTATAATTACATGAATGTACAGCTATCTAGTTGATGACTTCGTCGAAAAGAAAATTTTCTTCGCTGAAACTGTCTTTTTATTTGTAATTGGTTGTGTTCTCTGAGCTGGTTGGTTTAGTTGTGGAGCTCTCATTGTCCCTCTGGACAACATCTTCAGCACAAGTATTAGCATAAAACGAAATGATTTAAATTCTCCATAAACTATAGAAATGTGTCTCCTAGCAGCGACATTCGTGACTGGTTGTCGATTTACATATGTATTGATCATTTATTATTGACTTGGATTTTGAAATTTCTCATCACGTGACTTACTTTTTATTACTTGGGAACGAGAAAGTTCAAAATCCAAGTCAATAAAAAATGATCCACACAGATGTAAATGGACTACCAGTCACGAAGATGGCTGCTAGTCGACACATTTCTATCAATCATGGAAAATTTAAATCATTTCGTTTTATGCCAATACTTGCGCTGAAGATGTTGTCCAGAAGGATGACGAAAGCTCCACAATTAAACCAACCAACTCAAAGAACACAATCGCAAATTATCCACATGAACTACAAATCTTCTCTATTATTCCTGTCAATTTTGTTGCGTCACTCGATCTTATTTTAGTTTCTCACCGATTAATGTTTTCAATTGTATTGCGTAATCGTTATGGAAAACTTACAGTTTTAATGACACATCTTTGTAAACATTCCTTTTTTTGCTATGAGAATGTACTATGTGTACATATATTGTTTTGACGTCCTGTTTTTTATTTTTTTTTATTTCATCAACCTAGGTGTTTTCTGTTAAAGATAAGGAGAAAGAATCCCTTTTGACACCTGATGAAATCCGTGAATATTGTGGACGTCTTTTTGAAATAAGAGTAGAAGATGCAATAATTCAAAGGTGATTAAATTTCTCTTCAGTATTAACTTTTTGTTTCATTATAAATGCTTACAAAATAAGGGAAATTAAAACATTCCCATATTAATTAATTGATGCTATTATGAACGATAAACTGTGCTCGAACAAGTAATACTGTTTCAATGTGTGATATAGCAAATAAACAAATTAATTTGGAGTTACAGGTTAACACAGTGCCTAAGTTTCAAATATACAGTGATATTAATTATTGTTTTCTTGTTCAAAGACTGTGAAATGCTCCCAAACTAGTGAGACAAGGATCCAAGATAGTGTTGTGGTATTATGTATTGAGACCACAGGTTTGAAGCTTTTTTGGACCTGTTCACCCCCTAGAATTTCTGGACTTAGTGGACGATTTATGTTGAATGAATTCGAAAAATTACAGACGAAATGAATAGGTTGGAAGAAGAAGCAGCAGCAGCAAAAACAGGACTTCAAGTAAACACAAAGAAGACTGAGGTGATGAAAATAACCAACCGACAATAACGAGTATCAATCACTGTCAGTAGAAAAAAAATTTGAAAAAGTTCAGTTCCTTCACCTATCTAAGCAGCATCGTTTCAACTTCAGGCGGAAGGGATGAGGATGTCAAAACCAGAGTCAGTAAGGCAAGATAGATCTCCATCACTCTGAAATCAGTTTAGAAATCTTCTTCACCCATCAGTATAAACAACGAAATTCGGATTTTCAACACCAATGTTAAGTCATTCACTTTTTCTATACGAGTCAGAAACTTGGCACCTGCATCATGCAAAGCATTTCCGGCAAACTAAAGGTCTTTATCAACAATTGCCTCCGCTGGATCTATATTGAGGATCAAACGAGTAGCTAGAAAGCATTGGCAACGAGACACTCTGGGAACAAATCAATCAAGAATCTATTGCTCAACAAATATTCCGAAGAAAATAGAGGTGGATAGAAGAGACCGTCAGATGACATCGCACACCAGGCTGACGAGTGGAACACGACTGGGAAAGACGATTTAGGCGTCCGAGGGTGACATAGAGTAGATCTTTCGGGGAGCAGACGAAGGCTTGTGGGCAATAGTGGGGTCAAATGAAGAGGACTGCAAAGAAGAGAACAAAGTGGAGATGTGTTGTTGAAGCCCTGTGTACCCTTCGGAACTCAAGGGAATAATAATACACTGTCTCGCTTACTACCCACATATGCTATAGTAACTATATTACAAGTTATATTGAGGGTTTGAACAAGAGCTATACCACTTTTATAGCTAACTAGTGTGACTGGATGATTTGCAGTTGTCTTGTTAGACGTTATGAAGCTGCTCATATACTAAATTGGTTAGTAGCGTTAATGACTTCATTTAATCGGGTGTGAGGTAGCGTCGTTTATACGGGTCTGTTGACTATAGGGTTGCTATGCTAGATACTACTGCTTATAATAAAGCGTTTGGCTGGTCATGTATAGGAGATCAGGCCCATCTGGTTGACGCGATCACTGATTGGAGCAACTTTGCTAAAGTGACTTTCTCTGACATGAAGCAATTTCTCGTAGACTGAAGCTATACTGTTCATATAAATGAAAAATTGCATTTGTGGATGTTTGGTAATACTCAAATGCTACCTTAGAGGTAAAATATTGATTTTAAAATCCTGTGTAAAACAATGGATTAATAAACTGTGAAGTATACTGCTTTGATCCAAATTGTATATGGCTTTCATGTCAAAATGCGTATTACAATTAATTGTACCAACTTAGAATATCCGCGACTGTAGAACAGTATAACGCGGGTTCAAATCCCCGATGAAGGTATCACTTTTTTTAAGGTTGCCGAAACGCCTTGTTGACGAGTGCAATTAAGCGCAAAACCGAGTCACAGAGCTTCCTGTTGACTGCCTGTAACCACCTAACTTTTGTAAATTGCGTAACGTACGCTCCGATAGTTTTGTTGCCTTTCAGAAATGTGGGTACACCAGAACAAGACTGACGTTAATCCCAACCACTTCGGATAGAGGAATTTCAGAGTGCCTGTAATCCTAATGTTTTCTTTATGCTGACATATAGATTAAAAAGTGACTAGTGTTACTTTCGATTGTTCGTCTTGTATTCAAGTGTTGGTTCGCATGGATTTGATTGGTTTCAGAATTTCACCATGAACTGACACTGTACAGAGAACCATTAAAACCTGAGAGTACTGGATAACGTCTCATCCTAGCTTGAGACCCTCCAACAGTGCGAACCCAGGACCTTGTGGTTACAAGGTGAGCTAGCTCGTAGACGATTAAGCCACTAGGAGCCAATCCAATGGCCAGTTGATGGATTCCAACTTCTGCCAATTCATGAAATGGCGCTATCACTAGCGAATGTTATCGGTTAATATTTGTCCTCAAACCCGACCAGCTGTACCTCATTGGTCAGGACTTCTCAGTAGAACCCAGGTGACTACCTACCTGAGTAGGGCGAGTCACTAGGGAGCATCAGACTGATATTCAAGTGACTGCTTCCCGGGTTTCATTGGTTTCATGATGAAATCAGTGGGTGCATACTGACGAAGAGTCCCAAACTAGGACGAAACAACTGTTCAGTAATTTCAGGTTGTCTAGTGGTCCTCTAACCGATGTCTGTTCATCTTGTATTGTGGTAGTTGCCAGTCATATGCATTCTTAATACAATGGACACATGACATTTTAACTAAATCTGATTACAAGATTTTTGTTTTATTTAATTAAAAGTGAATGCTAAATAAAGCACATTTAAGAAATCGAAATCTTCGAGGAGAAAATTTTCTGTAGAATCAGACTATCATGCTGATTGTTTATAATAAAACAGTATATAATTACACCAGTTCTGTTTAGTCGACTTTACTACAAATTTTGATTTGACAATCATTCAACATTTCAGGGTTACAGATACGCCTTGCTGACGAGTGTTAACTAGCACGAAACCTAGGTCCAAGGCTTCCTGTCGGTCGCCTCCAACTATCTAATATCATCAAATCAATGTGCACCGTGATTGCAAGCTACCTAGAATGGTGGCCACGTTGCAAACCTGACTGATACAGTTTAGTCTGCACCAGAGCAAAGATTGGACACGTCACACTAGTTACTAGTGCCCAATCAAAAATTTCAAGAATTAGTTTGTAGGAATTTGGTTTGTTTTTCGTTTGATCACAGATTGATGTCATTAAAAGGACCGTTGAAAATCAGGGAATACTGAAGATCTGCTTCGTTCATTCTAGTTGGCACCCTCGACCACACCGGGGATCGTACTCCGGACCTTCAGGTTATGAGGCCAAAATAAGCCAAACTAGGGTGAAACAGCTGTCTAGTACTGCTTGCTTTTCAATGGTTCTCCTGCTGACATTAATCCGTGGTCAAACTTAAAACAAATCCTACAACCCTTTTTGCTTTCTATCGAAACAGGGCACATTGTCTGACTGGCTCCCCAAAAGCTTTCACTTGCCGATGTCATTCTTACTCGAATTGAGGAGTCTTTTAAGAGGACAGGTTTATTTTTTCTGTGCTGTGAAGTATCAGCAATGATGGGATTGCTTTTTACAGGCTGAGGTTGCTTTGCCTACTCCTAACCTTCCTTCTTTGGAGGCGTATGACTGGCTAGTAAACTAGGTGAAGTTATTCAACTGCCATTCAGAGATTATCCTGATGATTCCATATAAGTTTGTTTATTAAATGTATCACACAGTGAAACAGTAATATTTACTGGATGACGTTTCGAACAAAATTTATTGTTCATAATCATATCAATTGTAATCACACGAAGATGGGAAGTTAAACACTAGTGTTTACAGGGAATCCACACATTCAAATAGATATTTGAACTTCCGATCATCCCATGCTATGTCAGTTAAAACAGGATTGGTGAAATGTTTAAGTTACAGAGCACAAAAACTATGTAATACCAAAGAAAATCTAAGACAGGGAGGGATACGCATAAAAGAAGCCTTGAAACTTAATAATTACCCGGATTAGTCAGGAAATATGTAGGGAAATGTAAAATAAAGTAAATAATGATAACAGAGATAGTGATAATAATAATATCAATGACGACATGCATGTCAAATGTGAGCAAGACAACACTAACAATAAGGAATCTAAATCATTTTTAGTAATTCCATACAAGGGAGGAACCTCGGAAACCACCTTACGCAGAATTCTTAACAGTGCAGGAATAAAAGTGGTTGGTATTCAGACCCACAAACTCAATTAGAAACAAGCTTTGTCGGTTAAAGGATCCTGTGGAGCCTTTAAAACAAAACAATTTAGTTTATCTAATACCCTGCTTGAATGATTGTTAGGTCAAATACATAGGTCAAACTAGTAGAAGAGGGGCAGTCAGACTAGCCGAACATAAAAAACTAGCAAAATCTAGATTGATTGATCCAAATAAGATAAGAAATCTAGAGAACAGATCAGCTATAGCACTCGCTATGTGCAGTTACACATAACCATACAATAGGATGAAAGTTTTAAAATCTAATGTTACAGAGTGGAGGGAGAGATTGATAACAGAAGCTTTATTTATCGAATCAACTGCAAATACATGTAATAGGAATGACTCAACACCTGTCCCAGATATTTGGAAAATTCTACTACCCCTACGACAAATAGGAGAGGATAGAGAAAACTATATAACTCAAGTTTCAAAGTCGTGTAATTACAATTGATATGATTATGAACAATAAATTTCGTTCGAAACTTCATCCAGTAAATATTACTGTTTCACTGTGTGATACATTTAATAAACAAACTTATATGGAATTACTTGCTACCACAGTGCCCAGGTTTTACACACATGATTATTATCCTCGTGAATTTATATATTTAGGTAAGGTATAGTTATTATGTTATTTTCCCACTGTTTTTCTGTTAATGCTCAGTCAAGGATTTATACTCTTATCCCATTGTCAATCTGGTATGATATTCCCTTTTCCTAGAATACAGTATAGTACATGGCAGTAACATATATACTTGTATAATATTTTATTGTATCACAGGGTGTTATACAGTTTATTGTACGCGGTAATGACATGCATCACCATTTATATACCTGTTTCTATTGATATTCAAACCGAACAATAATCGCTTGATATACTGGGACATTTTACGTTGGGTTATCAAGTTTATTGTAGATATTTCTAGGATAATAAAAACCAAATGTTTCACTTTTTGAACTACATTTTTATCCACTAGCTAATCTTTATTGACACACATTAGAAATCCACTCAGTTCTCTGCGTTTAGTTTAGTCAATGATTACTGCTTTTCAAAAATTATTAAAGGTAAGAAACTGCTTTTTTCCCTACCGTTTGCATAGGAACCATGAACGTAATATTTTAAAAGACCCAACTAAGGAACCAGAAGAAACTCAGAAACCATTACTAATGATGGTAAGTATTGTTTAACAATATTTTGCGTAATACTAACTAAAGTAATGAAGTGATTACAAATGCAATTGGTAGATTCCACTCAACACTTATACCTAGACTGGACTGAACTGTACTGGCCACCATCTGAACACCGATTCCCAGACGAAATTATACACCTTAAACTCAATCGGAAATGTAGACAACTGCACTCACTCTTTAGAAATACTAAAAGTCGAAACAAACTCAATATTTCATCATTTTATTGGTAATTTCCACAAAACTGTTTTATATGACATTACAGATTTCTTATTAAATGACTCATATAAACACGCGTATTCAATTTACAACATATACCAATGGTGGTTAGAACCAGAAACCAAAAAATACAAGTTTAGAATATAATATAATGTGATCAACTCAGCTAAAATATACCTGTGATAGTAATTCTTTCAAAATCTCTACTCTACTATCCTGTAACTCCAATAACTCTGTTACGAGTGCGTCTCTGGCTTCTGGATGACTCCGTTTATAAACATGAAACAATTCTCCTTGTATTTTCATAAGTGTCAACTTTTCGAGTGGTTCATCATGGACGTAAACACATCTCTTGCCAAAAGCACATTCTCCGCGATTAAGGAAATTGTGACAAATCTTCTTTTTATACTCCCGTTCGAGAGGAACATATTTTAGTTCCTTTATCCCATGAGCAAATCGACATTTTTCACCAAAAATGCAGCCTTCAGGATTGTTCAAATGGAATTCACACAGCCGAGTTTTGAAAAATCTGTTATTCCGACTGCCTGTATTATTCCCATCTCCGACTACTTCCAAATTACTTACTCCTTCATCATGAAGCCTTGAGGATGATGAAGGATTGTTGTCTTCAACTGGGTGGTTGCCATGATCACCACCATAATTTTCCAATTTATTTTTATCATTTCTCTCAGACAGATCATTCGGCTTTCTTCCGTCATTCGAACCGCTCCTATCTTCTATGTGCAAGTTCATCAACCACTTCAAAATGGATTCCCGAGGAAAATGCTCAGCTGTATGGGTTCCATCTGGTAGTGTTTGTGTATGTTCATCTGACACCTTTTGAAACACATCAAAAGGACTAACAGGGGATACGCAATACTCAAAATTTTCTTCTCTTCCTCTCGTAGGAACTCCAGGAGTTTCCCCCACTCCTCTGGTACGGCATACTTCCTCATCAGAATCGCTTTTTTCTACAGTATTTTCGAAATGTACTGGAAATTTTCCCCATTTCATATCTCCGTGCATATTTCACACGATCACTTTCCCAATAACTGATATTCTAGACAAAATCAGTGTTTTTATTTTGAATTGTGAGTTCCACTCTGCCTTATCAGATAATCAATAATCCTTTGACCATTAAACACATTATTAAAAGTCATTGTGATTACTGCTCACATTCATCAAATTTGGTTTGTTCAAAATACTAAGTACTACATACAGACAAAAAGATACGCAAATGAATTGTTAGAGTTAATTGATAAACTAGACAGCATGTAATTCAGGTAGTGTAAATGGGAATTGGAGTAAAATTCAAAAAGAAGAAGTAATTTATCTGAAATAGGCAATTTATTTACGCCACCTGCTTTGAACATTCTCATCACATATGTACTTGCCGTACATATTTATATAAAGGTTAACAGGGTATGAAGGAAAATATATTCTGCAGAGAACTTCATCGTTTGCTGTAGAATGTGTCATTTCGGCTTCACTTAAATTCGTGTAGCAAATCGATGTTATGAATCATTGACGATCTAACAATAGAACTTTGGCCTTGTAGTAGAGTATAAAAAACAGAACATATCTCTGGTTTCTTTGCACATATAAACTTACTAGTAAAGGGAATAAAATTCACATTTGAATAGGAAAATGAACAAGGAAAATTAGATTTGTTATAATAGTATATAATATAATAATAATAATCATAACGCAAATAACAAAGAATTTAAGGCATCTACAGTTTTAGCATTTAAGGAGGGGATATTTGAAACCCTACGTAGGATTCTTAATAAAGCAGGAATTAAAGTGGCATGTAAACCTACAAACTCACTCAGGGACAACCTTTGTAAGTTAAAGGACTCAGTTGGCCCAATTAGACAAAATAATATAATTTTTAAAATACCTTGCAATGACTGTGAGTGAGGTTAACTACATAGGTCAAACTAGTAGGTCGAGAATAGTCAGATTGTCGGAACATGAGAATTTAGCTAAGGCGAGAATGGTTGACTTGAGAAGATAAGTAATTTAGAAAAAAGCTCAGCAATCGCACTGCATGCATTAACACACAACCACACAATAGGATGGGAGAGGGTTAAAATTCCAAAAAGTAATCTAGGTAGGTGGAGGGAGAGGTTGATTACTGAATCTTTGTTCATCCAGTCTACACCCAACACATCCAATAGGAATGACTCATCACTCATACCGGAAATATAAAGAATACTACTACCAATCATGTCAAGCAATGAAAAATAGTGGAGTTTTATAAACGAAGTTAGAAAGTTGTATGAGTAACTTGATATGATTCTGAGTAGCCATGAATAATGCTCGAAATGTCATCAAGTAAATATTACTGCATAACACTGTGAGACTTTATCAAAGTAGATTTCATCCATAATCGATGGTGTAAAATTATTCTGTTTTCTTGTTGCATTCACGAGGTCTTGGATTACATTGCTGAGAGCTTACTTTTGAAAAATTGTATTTTTCTACTTATAATACAGGACTTTCACTCACTTAGTCTCATATTCTGTATTATTATTCCCCACGTGTTGTCTGAAATGCAGTTAGCATTAATCACCTCCTATTCTATTTTAATCACCCAACATCACGCTTTTCTATCTACCATATTACTGTGTGTACTACTGTAGTTGTATTTATGCCTTCCACTGGCTTATTGAATGATAATATTATAGCAGGCGTAGAGTTTGAGAGGCCGTCGGTGGTTCAGTGGTAGAACACTGGCCAACCACTCAAATGGTCCTTGGTTCCATCCCCTTAGCTAGTAGTAAGCCAGGCAAAGAGCGAAGGCTGAGCAATCCCATCCCGCGAGAGAACATCACTGCTACTGAAACTTCAAAGCTCCAGCTTGAAGTTGCTAAATACACTTTTTCACTCAGGTATTTCTTTCTTTGTATATAAAATATAGGAATATTTGAATTTTTCATTTAACTTCAATTCCTGGTGGTTTGTAGCATTACTGATTATGAGTAGTTTATTGTGTATGCTGCATTTTGAAGCACTTGTGATTAGATTTGTTTTACTTCAGTGTGCTTTATGTGACTATGTCTTTATAAATTCTTTTTTTCAAATATCTCATCTGTTTTCTTTCCGCATTATCCAACTGTAGTCAGAACAAGCAAAAGTTATTCGATATCAGATACCATCATCTGACGGAAATACTTCAAAAAGACAGCTTAAAGGTGAGTGTTGTTGGTTTGTTATGGAGTTTAAAATGAAATTCTATAGTTTCTAGCGTATTTGAAAAGTCTGACTAGTAATGGAAGGTTTACAATATTAGTTAAACAAGGCTTTGTTTGAATTGGTTCTTAACATTTAACAATATAACAGAATGGATAAGCACAGTATTGTATATATATATATATATATATATATATATATATATATATTCAAATACTGGTTTTGGTAGGGATTTAGTTTGATTGGTTGTAGGATTTCATCATGAACTGACATCAGTTAAAGAACCATTGGAAAACCTGGGAGTACTGAACAACTGTTTCGTCCTAGTCTGGGACGCTTCATCAGTACGCTCTCACCCACCGGGGTTCAAACCCAGGACCTTCCGGTTACAAAATGAGCTAGCTCGCATACCATTAAGCCACTGGGACCCGATCCAATGGCCATTTCATGGACTCCAACTTCTGCTAATTTATGACATAGAGTGACCACTTCACCATGTCTTCTTCGATGAGTTACTGCCTCATAATTTTGTATTTCAATATTATTTTCTTGATAATAATTTTTTTCCAGAGGGAATGATCAATATGACAGGCAAATCGTATGTATGCATTCTTCATGAATACTGTCAAAATGTTATACGCCGTCCACCGACTTATCAGACAAAAGTTCTTGAGAATGAGAAAAATCCCTATCAAATGACAGTGTTTATTAATAACAATCCATATGGGACAGGTACAGGACAGAGTAAAAAGTGTGCAAGATTAGAAGCTGGTAAGTAGGTTATGTATTTTATTGTTTTCATGTGTGCAATATTCTTCTGTCAGATTATTGACGTCATCTTATCATTCATATTAATTCTATCCGTGTGCCGGTAGCTCGAACGTGGATTATTCAGTAGCCACGCACATAGGCTGGGTTCTATTGCCAGCCAGATCACTCCTACACCCAGCCTAGTTCACTAGCTAGTAGTGGACAAGAAAAAGAGTTAAGGTTAAGCCTGAGGTTAACAATCCCACTCAGTAAAAAAAGCAGTACCGTCGCCGTGTAAACTTCAAAGTCGGAAGCCCTATCTCCCACTAAGAACACAAAATGAAAGTAAACATTTCACCTAGATTTCACTGTTGTTTCATTGGTTAAACATTTTTGTTACGATAAATCTCTAGTTAACATAGCAGAAGTTGCAACATTATTGTTCACTGAACCCCAAACTCTCAAGCGCTAATAATGGCATCATAACCAGAACTTTAAGCAATTTTTTTCGATTGCTTAATAAAATTATGGGGAGAGCTGGCTGCAAGCCGAAATTATACAAAACAAACAATGACAAAGCTTGAGAAAATCACTAGCCAATCACAGCGGAGTTAACATGTGGAAATATGATTCGCAGATATATGGCTTGATTTTCTGAGAAAGGGCTACAAAGAGATAACAGATGACCTTCATCAAACAAACAACCAATCAGAAAAGGTTGCTTCTGCGCTAACAATAATGTACGTAAAAATCTGCAAATACCTCTTGGTTTTCTCAATAAACAATCTGTTGCCTAGCCCTTGTCTTCTATCGTTACAAAATCATGATAGTCAGTGTGTGAAACTCCCTGAATAAATCCACTTTTCCTGCGTCGGTGGCACAGTGGTTAGGACTCTCGCCGACCATGTACATGGTCCAGAGTTCGAGCCCACGCCGACGCACACCTGATATCTATGGTCGGCCTGCGAATTTTGGGCTACCGATATTCACACTGAAAATTCCATACTTGTACCAAAAATACAGTATGGAATTAAGCTGTAATCAAAAAAAAAGATTGTCGGATTGAGCATTCAGCTGTTAAACTTCACTTCAAATTCTTTAAGTCAATGATTTCTTTACCTCTAACGCCTAATGTTTACCCTGTTAAACGAATTCAAGTTGGATTATTGAATTTATTTTACTTAATAAGCCAGTGCCAATCCCTGCTAAGTAAGGAAGGTTTAGTAATTTGTCGAACCGTTTTAACCGTCGTTAGGTTAGTTATAGAATCAATCAAATCCCTGCAACTGAACACTTAAAAATTAATCGAATACTCGCTAGTGATATCAATGGTTTAATGTTTACGCCATGTATCGCAAAGTGACAGTATTTTTAAAATGGACAATGTATTTCGTCTATGCTCGTTCTTGTAAAGAGATTATTTATACTGACAAAGCCACCATTAAACATGATTTCAACTCATTCACATAACTAACATTTTAGTTTAAAATTTGATCAAAGATCTATGTCAGTTAGAGAACCATTGGAAACCACGGAGTACTGAACACTTGTTGTCATCATAGTTTCTGACTCTTCAGAAGTAACCCGCTCCACTGGGATTCGTGTCTAGGACCTCCTAGTTGCAAGGCAAGCTCTCAAAACATTCAACCGCTGGGACCGAAGTCAGTAGCCCATGAATTCAAACCTCTACCTATTCGTGATTTAAGTGCGACCACCAGCCAAAGGTCATCAGCGAGTATTCATTCTCATGCTCCTGATCATACTTGAAACAATTCAAATCCCTACAAAATAACTTTTGAAAACAAAAAAATGACAGTTCACTAGTAATTTTATGCCTGAATACTCACCCTACTGACAAGCAGGATAATGATCTTGTTGAAGGTGCGACTGTTTAGAAATGCACTTGTCTGTTGCTCTATGATGAAGTCATTCTCCTTCGTCTTTTCAAATAGTTGTCTAGTGGAATATTGTTTACTCAAATAATGCACTTTTTAGTTAAAATACGGTCCAAGGCTTCCTGCCGATTGCCTCCAAATATCTAATATCATCAAATCAGTGTGCACTGTGATGGCAAGCTACCTAGAATGGTGACCACATTGGAAACCTGGCTGATAGAATTCAGTCTGCACCGAACAAACGAAGAGCCAGACACGTCACACTAGTTACTACTATCCAGTCAAACTACCCACTACAGTCCTACAGGAGGTCAATCGTGAGCCCGAATAGCTTAGCGGTAACGTTGCCGTCTCTGACTGCAGCACTGGGTGATGGGGATTCCAGTTTCAGGAGGGACTTGAGTTTCTTTGAGATTGCATATACGCCTTGCTGGCTGGTGTGTGCCAACTAGCACGAAACCTAGGTCGAAATTCCTGCCTATTGCCTCCAACTATCTAATATCATCAGAATACGGTCAGGTTGGAAAGAAGCCAACAGCATATTCTATCTGAATTGTTCATGTCTATTTGCAATTATGTACGAAAACTTGATTCTTAATTTGATAGTATATTCCCTAAATACTCACCTCTTTTTTTTCTTCTATTTTGATTTTTTTGTCTGTTTGTTTGTTTAAAGCTCGTAAAGCACTAGAAATTCTAATACCTGATTTTCAAAAAATTGTTGGTTCAAATTCACATCAGTCAGGTCCAGTTACAGCTACTGATCGTGATATGGAGTTGTTTGATTCTATTTCAGTGTCTGATCCACGTTTGTATGAATTATCTGTACGTATGGCGCTTCCCACACCGTATAATCTACTTATTGAATGTTTAAGTCGAAGTTGTGTACCTGAGTCAGATTTAAAGTCAAGTATGATATCTCAAGGACGCAGTAAACACTTTTTCACTTTACAATTAAGAGAACATGTAATTAAGGTAAGATTTCTTGTAGGTGTTAATGATACTTTTAAAGTGAGAATGCTAATTAAATTATTTATTTTATTATGTAAGTTGACTATTACTTTATTATCATTATTATTTCCATCGTCCACATTTTATTACCACTCTATTACTGCTTATAACATTGCTTTATCATACAGCTTTTATATAAATAACACAATCGCCTTTCGACTAGTTCCTATCCATTCTACACGAGATTATTGATTAGTCATTATCTCACACTTATTACGTCATGCCAACTTCTGTCTCTTTTCTAACTTACAATTACTCATCCCTTCTTACACCTTACATTATGTAATACAATATTCAAGGACAAAGTTTACCAGTATTTGATTGGTCTAAAGATTTTTCTGTTAAATATAATTACGATTCTATAGCTCACGAAAGTGAATCGTAGAAAAGAAATTTTTTCGCTATTTGTGCCTTTTTCTAATCAAATTAGTAAACACATTGCATTTTTTCTACTTTCAAAGGTATTTTATTAAGTCTGGTAGAAAAAGCGAGTGGATAGATCATAGTCATTCCGTCCAATCTGCTATTCTTACTGTTTAACAAGTAACTTTCATCTGTAATTGTTCTACCAAAAGTCTGCATTTATTAAACCTTGTCTCATGTTACTGTCCTTAAATCATAGTATGTAAATTATCGTATTTCTGTACCTATACAGACTGGTCTTAGTTGAAGGGTTTACCTGCGATTTTCAGCATAATACGCTTTTCTTAAAGACAGTTTTTTTCAGAAAAGGTAAAGGTTCACTACGGTACGCTTTAGAAACCGAAATTATTTAGATCCCAATATGTGATCCACTTGATATCATAAGCGGTAATCAAGAGACCAAGCATAAATGTATGATGTTGTATCCTGGTGATTGGTCGATATAAATGGTTGGACAACACTCATGTCAACTATGGTCAATTTTAAAGGATATACACCTCAGTGGCACGGTGCTAAAATGCTCCCCGACCACGCATGTGGCCCGGGGTCCGATCCCTGGCCGACGCACTCCTTTCCCTCGCTAAGCCAGAAATAAGACTGGTAAAGAGGAAAGGTTGGACATGAGACTAGCAACCTGTTATGTACTAGTTTCCCCGTCGCCAAATTGTTATGTACTCGTCGCTAAATTATTGTTATGGTCTGGTCGAGAAACTAATAGTCCTGACGAAAGAAGGCGGAAATCAGAAGACCACTAGGTTTGCGATGATACTTCTATTGTCCAAACACAAGGAGACGGAAATAAATGGTCTCACACCAAAGTGATAAGTAAGTAAAGTAAAGTCACAAGATTGTGAATGCGAAATATATATGAATGTTCCAGACAAAGCGTGGGAACAAATCATTAGACAGTCTTAACATGAATGGCTAATTATAATGGAGTGCCGATCCAAATATACATAGCGAATATAGCAGACATGTCAACAACCATATGTGGATATATGTCACTAAGCAACGGACTGTCAACAAACACTCATATTATATATAATATAAATGGAATATACATTGTTAAAGGAGACAAGTTCATACCAGTGAAATGGTCACAGACTAAGAGAGCAAACAGAAAGAGAGACCAACATACACACACACATAAATATATATATATGTGGATACATATCACAACCCTATCCTGTAAAAATAAACACTGCTGTGGAAACTTCATACCTCTAACTTGAAGTCTTATGTTCCACTGAAAACATAAAGAAATTATATATATATATATATATATATATATATATATATATATATATATAATTATCATATCCTTTAATTCCAAGGGGAACATAGGGCTTCAGCTGCACGTCTCCATTGCCTTCTGTTTTCTGCCAACGTTTTCACCCCGCTCCAAGTCTGCCCACATGCTTTCATCTCCTCCTCACATGACCTCCTTTGTATACACTGCCACCAATCACTAGTTCGTTGAAGACTCAGAAGTCGGCGAAGAGTTCTCCATTTTCATTCATTTCTCCGAGAGCTTCTTTACCCATGATGAGTTCCCTTCCTGTGTTGTCTGATCCCAGTTTGGCGTTCATGTCTCCCATTAGTATTTTAATGTCACCAGCTGGAGTATTGTCCATTGTTGCCTGAAGTTGTCTGTAGAATTCTTCTTTCTTTTCGAGGTCTGCGTTGTTTGTGGGTGCATAGCATTGTATAATTGACACTTTCCTTCCTTTGGAGTTGAATCTGGCGGTCATTGTTCTGGACGAGATCGCCTCCCACTGCATCGATACCTTCGTTCGACCAATTTCAAGTGTGTGCCTAAAATATGTAAAGTCTGTAACATATCATTATAATGCATTACGTTTAAGGTTGTTTTATTACTCAGTTATTTAATACGGGAATCTAATTTATTAAGCTGTTATGGTATATCACATGTAAGAGCCTGTGATAATACCTGGTTGTCTCGGCAGATGTGTGTAAACTCAGGTTTAAATCTAGTGTCCGTTAGTTGAAGGCTGAAGCAGCATGTCATCCGTTAAATCCACAATACCTAATTAACTCAGTTAGCTGTTTTGTTTACTCTTTCACGTTCCCAGTGGAACATAGGGCTTCAATCCAGAGGTTTGAAGTTTCTGTACCAGTGACGTTTTACTTTTACAGGATGGGGTTGCTAGCCTCATGCCCAACCTTCCCTCTTTACCAGTCTTATTACTGAATTAGCGAGGTTTAGGAGTGCATTGGTTAGAGATCGAACCCCGGACTACCCGCGTGGTCGGCGAGCATTCTACCGCTGTGCCACCGATGCACAATTGACTCAATTAGCTGAGCTTATTTAATTTCTTTACTCATATCCTTTGATCTCTTGAGTCTATAAATTCTAATCTCGTAGATTAAAAGCATGGAACTGTTTCATACCCTAATGAACCGTTGCATGAAACTACTCTTTTAGTTGGACATGATCAGTTTTTCAAAAATGTTTTGTGTAATTACATGGACCGAATATTTACAGGATGTCTTTTTTAACTATTTGAAATGTTGGCGTTCATTTCAGTTTTACACATCAATCATTTTAATGAGTATTCTGGGTGCACCTTTTCTATTTCGTTTTGAAACCACATGACTATCTTATACAGAAGGCTGCTGGAATGACCTTCAGGATGAGTGGTATTTTCGTGTGGTTTTGTTCATTTACTTGATCCCCTCTTTCATCATATCTGAGTTACTTATTTTGTAATGGTAGAAAAAATTTTTTAATCAGGATCACGATTTTTATTTGTTTATTGTCCCCCGAGATTTGATGTTTAGTTTGAAAAGTCATCTCACTTGACTTTCTCGATAGTAACGCCTCCGGATAACTCTATGGAAGCTATTTGTGTACGAATTTAGTTCTGGTAGATTCACACAACCTGGTGATAGAAGTTTTTAGATATAGTATCATTGCTGTAGACAGCAGACGCTATAGCAATTCGCATGAAACAACCAGTGCTTTGTGTACAAAAGAAGCAAGTCCAGCCACTACTACTGCACTGGCCAGCCTTCAGGGGAGATTAAGAATTCATAAATTTGTAATATTATCTTCCCTAATTTTTCTGACATTCAGTTTATTTAAAAAACAGAAAGATTGAGCGAAGAAACATTTACTTTTCAATTAGATCCTCATCTCTGACTCTCTCTCTCTCTCTCTCTCTCTCTTATATATATATATATATATATATATATATATATATATATATATATATATATAATTTTTATTACTATACAACAGTTCACCAATCAATTGGTGGTAAGTTTGTTAACAATAATTAAACAGTGTCAAAATGTCAATGGGTTGATAATTAACGAAGAAAATCAATACACATTTAAAAGGTAGAAATGCTTAGAATAAATTAACTTTACAAGGTTAACACGTAAATTAAAGATGAAGTGGTCAAAATAAATAAAAAATAGGATAATTTGGACAATTATAATTTCTTATAGTTTTTAAAGGTTTAGGGGGAGGGGGGCGAAGTAGTCCTGTTTATGCATTCTTGCAACGATGGCCACGGTAAGGAAAGTGGCTGTACAAATTTTTTATGAACACATAGGCTTCTTCAGGTGAATTCTGATTGCTTCAGCTGTATGTAGAAGACGAACTCGTAGAGCGAAATTAAGATTAGTAGGAGTGCGATAAATAATTTTAAATGCAGTAGTCACATCAACCTTATGCTCAGTATCAACAAGGTGGGCTAAAATAGAACTACGAATAGATCTTGTTTGTCCCTTGCTTAACCATGTTGGATGTTGCTATTGAACTGTAATCTATTGATATGATTATTATTGATTCGATGTTATTTAAACATTAATGTTGTTCATAGCACTAATTCATTCACTATAAGATATCGTTCGCCATAATGTATATATAACTGTAGAGCCTGATGATGAAGTTATCTAATCAGTTAAAATCAAATTAATACGTCACATAATTTGATCTATGTTAACTGGTACTTTAGTGATGTGTAAAACAAGAAATTAATTCTATTTTCAATCGACAACAAAAAATTAATGTTCCATTAATTCTGCTCAATTTCTATTTTTACTGATCACAGGTTAGGTGTAAAAATAAGAGAGAAGGTCGACATTTAGCTGCCCAGCATCTTTTGTCTCGTTTACATCCTGAAGTGAGTACTTGGAGTGGTCTCTTGCGTATTTATGGCCCAGGGAGTAAACCAGACAAGCGGAATGAATTAGAAACTATACAAGATGCTCAGGTCCAGCAGAAATCAGCTGTAAAAGCCAGTTTAATTCGTTTATTGAGGGCGAAAATGAGTGAACTTGCTGATCAACAGGTATGTTTCCAAAGAACATTTGTGAATTCATTTTTCTCGAATTGTATGCGTGATTATTCCTCACAGCGACTACTTTAAGGTATTACACTGGTAAAGCTAAAATCTGCTATACTTTAGCCTTTATCCTACTCAGTAAAGGTATCTATCTCCTTCAGTTAGCACATTTCTTAACAGTCTCGAGTGAGTTTTATACATTTTTGTGTTTGTAGTCTACTTCATGTATGAATATTTGGCTATTGAAGTTATTACATCACTTCTTGGTTTTGCTGTCACTTGAAAATGTTTCTGTACGTTTACCGCTCCCTTATTTTTTTTCCTTCACGTTCCCCAGTGGAATATAGGGCTTCAAGCTATTGGCTGTCAGTTTCTGTAGCAGTGCTTAATTTTACAGGATGGGCTCGCTGGCCTCATATCCAACCTTTCCTCTTTACCAGTCTTAATACTGGCTTAGCGAGCGAGGTAAAGGAAAGCGTCGGCTGGGGATCGAACCTTGGACCATATCCATGGTCGGCAAGCGTCCTAACCTCTTAGTTTCCTGATATTCTATAATTGTAAGTGGTTAGCAGTCTATTGAATGATACCTATAAGAGATTCCTTTGTAGCAATGTAACGTGATTAAGTATGGAGCGATGTACATTATGATTGCACTCAGTATTTCTATTTAGATGGCTTTAAAAAATGATCAAAACACTGGCACCAATTGAAATTAACACTCCATTACAATAGTTATTTCTGCTTCTCGGATTAATAAAATTGTCAGAGTGACTGGAATAGAATGTGCATCACGTTCAAGGCTACCAGGAGAGGTGACTCATAAACTCCTGAAGAATTATAAAAGCTCAGTCCAAATTAAAGTAAGCGCTGAAGATGTTGTCTAGCAAGAAAATAAAAGCTCCTCAACCAAACCAACAAAGATTTAAACCTGAATGCTGTTAGATTCGAGTAGTGCTTGACGCTTTGTGGTTACTACTCATAGGAAAGTCAGTTGTAAATTTCCTGCTCTTTTTTATGATATTCCAGGTACTATTTCTTGAGTTCACACACTTCCACTTTTTGCTGAATGCCGGCCCTACTTGTAGTTCTTAGAATTCAGAAAGAATTGTATTGTTTTTTTTAACCATAACCTATTATGTTTTCAAATTTTCCAGTCATAAAGCATCCAATTTTTCTGATTCCGTTCACAGTGAATTATTTTTCGACTATTGTTAAATAACTAGAGTGACTGTACTTCTTCTGATTTACAACCAGTATACATTCCTAATATATTTCTCCGCTTTTGTTTCTTTCTGGTATAGGAGAAGTCTGGTGGGAATATACATCCAAAGGGGAAGTTCTTCGTTTCACCCTACAATCTCCCAGTAGTTGCTTTCCATCCTGATTCTGAAGGTGACTTGTACAGTTCTGCGCCTATAACTTCATCTGTACCTTCGCCCTTGTTGCCACCGCCATCCGACTAATTGATGATCTTACTGGAACTTCCCAAATCAATTACTGTTTAGACACTATAAACATTTTTCCTGGTGCTTTCTATCTGTATATTTCCACATAGTTTGTTTTTTATATGCTTTATGAAATATTACACATATGAATTACTTTATACTGCACTAAATACTTTACAACTGCTTTTCGTTTATTACCCGGCGTTTTCACAAGGCGAAGTATGCTGAATATACTAGCGGTGATTATCTGTTCCCTAGATTGTGTGTGTATGTAAACGAGTCGTATTATTCGTTATGTTTAGGAAACTTATGAATCTCTCTACTGGGAACTTTAATGTTTGTGTCAGATGTCTCACATTTTGTATTGTACTAGTATAGATCGACACTTGAACACCATGTACGAGTTATATTAACCTCCCTGCAGAAACTAACAACTCTTCCTACAGATGTAGTACTGGATTTCAACAATATTCTAATCGTATTTATCTTGTCTAATGTTGGGAACTGAATAAGTTAGTAAGTGTCATTTATGATGTCAAGCAGATCACATGTAGTGACCTGAATAATTTCGTTCCCCTAAGGAAACTGTGGTGAAGTTTCACCTAGAACTGGGTAGACTGCAAAATCTGGATTTGATTCTAAGTGAGTAAGGATAAATGTGCTTTGTATTTACTTGCTTTGTCTCTCTGTGTTTCACTTCCCAAAACAAGAATGTTTTTTCGCTACTCAGATAGCTGAATCATCCACTGAAACGCCGTAATACCAGTTAAATTGACAAGGATTTGAATTTTATAAGTTATATACTCAAATAATTATTCCAATATAATGATAATGTCTCAGGTTGACATGTCGGCTTCTTGTGCAGATGCTTCAACGATGTTTGGGCATGTAATTAGAAGTTAATTGGTGGATGGTGACTAGCAGTGGAATCCAGGATGACGCGCATTTCGTCCTATTCGGGACTCGTCAGGTGGATGTACTTGCACTCCGCAGTGAGTGATGATGTTCCCACCAATGAGGCTCGGACTCAGTGCCCATAGTTTCAAACGCCGAAACGTTATCCACCAGACCACTTGAGCCAGCATGTCCATTTAACTTTCATATCTATTTCACATAATCATATACATACTTTATTTGGATTATTGCTGATAGTGGTGGAATCTCTTTGGAATTTAAATAGGGTTAAAGTATCGCTTGATGCTTTACAAAGTAATCTTAACCTGCAGTAAATATTCAGTGTGGTTATCACTGAACTTTCCTGTGTTCTGCTAAAGTCACCACTCCTGACTTGTTATCATAAGAAGGATTCGTCTAACTGACTTTAACATTTACCTCCTAACCAGCCGTTTCCTGGAGTGAAACCCTCTATGCGCGTGTTCGGATCACGTTGGGCTCACCAACTGTAAAGTACTAGTAGTGCTGTTGCCAAGTTACATTTACTTTTGTACGCAATATTCCAATACTCTACCTAACCAGTAAGTACTGACGACAAAACGCAAATCAAAAATCTTTGTTATTAGAGAAAAAGTGCTCAGGTGCGCCGTATATTTGAGTAAAATTAAAGGTAAAGATTAACTAAGAAAGAGGTCTAGAACTCATCTAACGGGAGTGGCTTTACTACAAACTCTAGCAATGAACGTATTCACCACACAATGGAAAAGAGCAAAAATGTCGTAGGAGCCCGTATATGTACAAATTAAAACTAAGTCTTTAACAGTGGACTGTGCACTACACATCCATCCTGGAGTCACTAAACAACATTTGTGGTGTATGGCTGAGGTAGTCGATTTATGAATAAGTGAATAATATGTGAAAACCACGATTCTGTTAGGATGGTGTAATGAATTCAAAAAACAGCTGTTTCTTCTCAAAGTAAAACTTCACCAATGTCTTCTTACAGTTTAAAGTTAATACTATGTATATTCATAGACAATCGCATATCAAGTTTTCTGCAGGTACTGTTGGTACAGCCTTCACAGTTTAGTCCATGAATGACTACTGTGGAATTAAAACCATGTGTTAGTAGCAAAGTTGAACATAAAACGAGGGTAAAACCATAAGTAATATTTAACCATTCAATGAATAACAAAACATTTTCAGTAATACTTTGGAAATTTTCAGTGTCAATACACGAGGTCAATTCCGGTAAAAGTCTCAGACAAGTACGCAGATTATGACTATGTCAACCTGGCAGGAGCTGCTAGGCGTTCATAATGCTGGAGATGACCTAAAAAAAGAGCATTCGCCCACAACCTAGGAACTTGCGTTGTTATCAGTCGTGTTACTTATCACTCAGCTAAGGCCACAAATGATCCCGATTGCATAGTCACAAACGACAGCACAAAAGCTGACGAATATCACCTGGCAATGGGTCATTTAAACACTGTAAGCAGTTAGATGATAAAAACTCTGATGCCTCGTTTTTCGCTTGTCGGGTTTGGAATTAATTTTCGAGTTAACCAGCTTGTCCAGGACTGGGAATAATACTTAAGCTTCTTTTGTGGAAATGTGACGTTGAAGTCATTCATTTTGGAGACTAGTACGTTTGACTTTGCAGCTTTCTACATCCAAAACATACAGCAGGGCTTTTCATAAGTATATTTAGACAATTAAAATAAAGGGAAACTTTTGAACAAAGCAAGAACAACAGCGATTTGTACAGAATGAAATGGTACCATCATTTATTTCGTTGGATTCTCATCAGCTGCTTGCAGCCCATAGACATTAATAAGTATATCTACAGAAACGCTTTTGACATACCTGCACAGAGTTCCTTTTTAAACAAAAATCAATCAGTCAGTATATGCATACAATAATATATGTAATAATAATCACTTTATCCCGAACAATAATGATCATACACAATGGAAACTTTCGACATTACGTAATCAGCTGAAAGAGAGGGTGAAAACATCCAGTTACCAGGGCAAGGAAAGACTGATAACCGCTTCTTTTTGAAGGCATAAATCGGGTTTCAGGCGCTTTGATAGGGATTGCTTCGGCAAACTTAAGCAGGAATTAACTCTTTTTCCTATTGATAATTTTGAACGATCGTGAGTTGCCACCTCTGTGCAGTACGTAACAATATGATTGTACACTTTTTGGTTATTTGTAGAAATTAGAAATACTGTACATGAGTTCTGTTTAAAACGCTTCTTGTTAAAATATATATAACTTCCGTGTACAATTGAAAATACACTTTGCTGTTGGGGACTTCGCCTTCTCTCTGGTTATTTCTGCTTACTTGCTCAACTCATACCGTGTTTTATACTTCGGATTTATTGTAGGAGTCTACTACCCTCAACCAAAGATAATTCTACAACCGGAACACAGCAGACGCAACCCAAACAATTAACGTTCCCGTGGATTATATAAATAATTTGTAGCAGGGGACTTAAACTTTATATACAAGTAATCCTTTTTGTTGATATAACTCGTCACTGCATTTTTGGTAATATATTGTTATTTAACATTTCATTGACTTGGATTATTATTCTCATATTTGTAATATTAGTGAACTCTAGTATTAGTCTTCTACGCCTCATGACCAGTGTCAAGGTCTGTTGATGGCACTGTTTAAAGCACTTTTTCCCTTTAGATATAGGCTTTTTGGTATATATTCAGAAAATCGGAGGCATATCCTCCTTTCTATTCTTCCAATGTAACTGCTCCCGCAGATACATGTAAATTTGTATATACAGTAGGAGCTAACATGAGAAGGGATATCTGTCGATTTTTGTTTGCACCAAAGAGCAAGTTGTTCGATAGATGGGAACCAGCTTAGCTGTACGATATGCTCTACCTAATGACGTCCTCAATCTTCTGTTGACAGCTGCTGTAATATTTTCACCTTTCAAATGAAATTGAATGTAGATGGGCTTTTTTCCACTGTGACTTGCTAGACATTTGAACCTTCAGATCTTCCATACTTGTTAATGAAACTTTGAGGGTAACCGTTGCTTTTCAACATCATTTTGAGAAACACAAACTTCCTCTAATTTCTCTGTAGAGCATAATCTCCTAGCTCTATAGTATAGAGTCTTGACTAGTCCTTGTTTAAAGCTACTTGGACAAAAACTGTTCAAATGCAGGTAATATCCTTTCTATGTAAGCTTTCAGTGAATTGACTTCTGAAGACTGCCATCCTCTAGGTGTTGCATGGCAATGTCAAGGAAGTGGAACTTTCCATCATTTTCATGTTCCATAGTAAATTCAATATTGGTATGTGAGTTGCTGAATAATCTGAGTAGGTAGGAAGTATTACTTTCATTGTTGCACATGAAAAATGTGGCATTGACAATAAAAAGTTGTTTCGTCAATTGCATGCTCCAACTTTGTTCTTTCAAGGTTATTAAAAAGCCGGTTGCTCCGAAGAAAATTTTCTTTTCGACGAAGTCATCAACTAGGCTGTGCATTTGTGTATTTATATTAATTGTGATAGAAAGTTCCAGAATTATTTCCAGTCAGAAGTCCCATTAACAAAATTACCAAGTGTAATAAATGGAAGATAGGTAGTGGGAATATTCTAGAAATATTTCAGGTCAAAGGTCAAGTTAAAAATTACAGTGTACACTAATCACGAAGATCGGGTAGAAAAGACAAAATAGGAACACAATTACTAGAAAACTAGTTAGTTTGTATAATTACAGGTTTAGGACGTAGTACTAATGAATATTCGGACATATAAAGGTAAAAACAGTAACCAAATCTAATAACCCAGTTAGGGAAAAGCAAGACAAGCTTTCATTACTCTCCAATCTGTGTGGAGGTCAACAGCAATCAGCATCAAAAATAAGATCCGGATTTTCAACTCCAATGTGAAGTCAGTGCTACTATACGGATCAGAGACTTGGCGAGTCATAAAGAGCATCTCAAACAAACTTCAAACCTTCATTAACAACTGTCTCCACTCAATACTCAAGATCAGATGGCCAGAAAAGATCAGCAACAGGGATCTCTGGGAGCGAACCAATCAGGAACCGATTGTGAAACAAATAGGCAGAAAGAAATGGAGATGGATTGGCCATACGCTGAGGAAACCATCAAGTGACATCACTAGACAAGCCCTCGAGTGGAACCCGAAAGGAAGGCGGCGAGTTGGTCGTCCAAGGGTGACTTGGAGGAGGCCATGCGAGGAGGAGATGAAAGCATGTGGACAGACCTGGAGCAGGTTGAAAAAGTTGTCAGAAAACCGAAG